TTGATATATGCTTAAATAGGCAACATAAATTTTGTATCTTTCAATAAAAATGTATTTTGTTTTAAATCTTATTTAATTGATAAAAGTTATGAGCTTAGGTAAACTAGATTTTTAGCATGGTATCTTTTCGACAAAAAAAAAACATTAAAACAGATCATATATTCAAAGAAAAACGACTAGTTAAATTTTCATAATTTAATTATTTTCTGTTACTTTAATGATAACCATAAGTTGAATAAAAATTATTAATACATTTAAAAATTATAATAATGAGTATATATTCTATTGATTAATAAAGAAAGATCTTTTAAAAATTCAAACACCGAAATATTCAAAAATTATAATCATGTTGAAATTTCAGTTTAAGTTTAGGTTACGGTTTTTTACAATTTTTATTAGATTTCATGTGGGTTTCGGAGTTTAATTTTTAAAGGGTTTTAGTTCTCAACTTTGGTCCTAAGGCTTATTGTAACTATTTATATTTCTTTTAAGATTATAATTAGAAATTTCCACTTTGTATTTAATTACATAATTTATATATTTAATTACATAATATTATTATACAATTACAAAGAATCAAGAAAATGTCAACATTTATATTATCTGCTTTACAATGTTAATATTCTTCATCAATTTACGTGGATTCATATAATATACTACAAAATAAAGATTAATGGTATTTACCAAAATAAACATATTTCTATGTCTAAATGACCATTTTGTATACGTTTTTAGCAGACCAATATGTTCGCACACATCACTAAAACACTATTTTTAAAGACACACGAATTCCTGCTGCTGTAACGTAATTGTAAGTGACATCCGTTTTATCTTTCTTGAACACATTATTGTTTTTTTTTTTATTGAATTTCATTTTGTTTAAAATACAGAGTCAATATATATAAACAGTAGGCGTCATCGTGATCGCGTCGACGAAGTTTAGTCGCTCAGGAAATTGTTTCGCTTTGACGCCGGAAGGGACACCGAGGTGCTCTCTAATGAAAATAAATGCTCGACTTCAGGAGACTGTGTATACATTTATATAGTGTGTCTGTGTTGTCAATAATTGGTGCCGCAAACATTGTTTTTCACCCTCGGGTAACAGAAAAAACCGATGAAAAAAAAGGACCATGAAAGTAAGACTCAAGTCTTTATAGAAACGTTTAGGGCGTCAACAAGCTGCAATAATTACTTCATAACGATCCAGATGACTTACATAGATTTTGATTAGCTCAAACGATCGGTGTAGGGTAACAGTTTATTTTCAAAAATCAGTCAATGATGAATTTGTGGAATCCCTGCTGTGATCGTATACAACAAAGTTATTTTATTGAAATAATTAATATAGAACAGCACGTATCATGTTGTGTAGACAATAAGCCCGGACTCAATTACATGTTGAATTATATGTATACTGGAGGGTCATCAGGCAGTGAACGGATATATTTTTCAAAATGTTAGTAATTGGATGCGTTCATTGGAAAAAAATGTGATTTGAAAAGTGTGTTATCAGAAAAGCACATTTGTAAATATTAACTAACGTACTCGTTGAATTAAAAATAATAATTAAAGAAAGATTTGTCTAGAAATAGCTAAAAAACAGTATATGGTTAGAATTTTTATAAGAGTTTCAATATTTAAGAAGATCTTAATTGTTTGTTGAAATTCAACAATTAAAGAATTAATTAAGCATCATATAACACGTGTTGATTGTTTTATTAAATTGACACATTTGAAAGCATTATAAAATATTTTCTAAGTTGTTATCTAAGATGTTAACTCATAAATTCCAAACACATGTCAAAATTCATTCACCCTCCTGTAGATTAATCTTAGTCGGAACAAGTGAGGAAGTGGTTGTTTCACCAACATCTAATGACAGTGTTCATAAGTTATAAAAAAAATTTAAGCGCTTAACATTAGAAAAATAGCTAGTATCTGGTATTTTCCTAAGACATATCATTACAGTTAGCCGAGAAGGGGTCGACGGGTGTAAGTTGTTATGTATTCCGGTCGGGGGAAATGAACTATGGCGAAAGGATGGAAGGAAAGATGAAACACATCACTGCTTCCACCGATCTTCGGCGACAGACTATATCTGGTCGGTTTATTGTTATTCTTTGTACTGACGTTGTTATGTAATTTTATCCCTTTCGCAACGATACACCTCCTTACATTGTACATTACATAAAACCTTATTCTTCATCCTTCACCGACGTAATGAGACGAGGAAGTTTACAATTATATTCAATCTGTTATTTTTCTTCAGCAATATCGTTGTCACTGAATTATATACACTTTCAATTATTCCCTAACACTGTCACACCATGAGACGTCCATTCAGTTAGAACCAAAAGAAGAACTGTTTTAAATAAAACAATTATTAAATTTTTTGATGGCGTGCCGTTGATTTTTTAATGTCGATTCGCACAATTAAACAAATCATCAGGTTTTTTTTATATAGAACTCACTTCTGGACATAAATATTAAAATTTAACATGAAATATGTTATAAATTGTTATGTAAAAATTCCCATTAAAGAGTTTTCGTTCTGAATTTACTGTACTGAACGTTTTGATGTCTCGCCAAACATTCACATATTTTCACTATACAAATGGCGTAAACGTGTACACTACATATGTCAAACTAATTTTTGTAACGTAAACTTATTTGTATCGTTGACGACAAAATAAGAAATTGTGTGAAGGTATTTAGAGCACAAATCTCATAATAAACTAATTGAGTTAATTGTTCACGCCACGACTGCGTAATTTATTACACGATTGTCAAGTGTAAAACGGAGAAATAGTCAAAGGGTTGTAGCTACCGATAACAACAATTACAAGCAGCAAAAGCATTTGCAACGTGACACAAACAATGCAATAGATCTACAAGCACATGTCCGTTGAAAACAGCTATTCTTGTATTTACACATCGACAGTTAAAATACAAAACGTTTTGCCCTCAGTCGAATGTAACTTTCCAGTCAGTATTACAATTTTCATTACATAACCATTATACGTTTTTAATCAATACTAGAAGGATTCCCCTCTGACAACAGATTTATAATACCACATGGATTCTAAGTAATACATACACTCAAATACTTGATGTCAATTTTTCAATGGACATTTCGAAAGTTTCAACAGTTGTATTAATATTAGTGGTTTTCACGTGATCAAAGGTCAGGTCGAGTTGTATTCACTGTTGAATCTGTTACATTTAGTGATACAATACAATTTAATACAATCAAATCGGAAAAATATGTCAGCGATGTAAAAATAAAAAAAAATTTTTAAGATTATTTTAGCAGTAAATTTAGCTGTTTATATTATTAATGTTACTATACGATAAATATAATGGCAAATACAACTGTATCTATAATAACGTGTATTATTAATCTCAAAACAAACTTTTATAACTTGTTTTTATGTCCTTATGTTTTTACTATGTTGGTTTTTATTTTATTTTACACGTTAAGGGTAATCAAAAAATTATATAAAAATGTGTGGTATGGTTTTATGTAGCATAACCATTTTTGTCCCTAAATTTATTTCCATTTCATGTTATAAATACTATAAAATGCGTTTACAAAATTAAAATAATTGTTTTCTATAAAATATTAACAGAATTATTAAATTTTATTAGGATAATACCAAATTAGTTCACTAAAAGTAAGATTAAATATTGTTATCGGTTTTATTTGTTAGTTTAAATTTGAGAGAAAAAAATTAATTTCAATTGAAAAATTATCCTCCATTCTCTCACACCTTAATGTAAAATACATTCACAAATACAAAAATATTTTCATTGATCTATTAAAAATCTTTGGATATGAAACTTATTTAATATAATTTTAAGGTTATATGAAATAACTGTTGATAATTAATGAAATAATTGAAGATGCACGTACTAAAAAATAGATAGATTATACATTGGGCATTAAAACTTAACACAAATTGTTACACGTGTCTTAGTGATAGAAAAATAGTCTAATACTACCATAATCTACATTATAATTAAATTAATCTACATTATGATTTGTAGACTACTACCTATATTTATCATCTGTTAAAGGTGTGCGCTGGTGATGTGCGTCATTATTGGTTAATGATATCACAAAAGGATGTCTTTTTAAGAAACTCTTGAATATATCACTTCAATACTTGTATCTTGTAAATATTTAAGACAATAAGACTAAAATATCTATTGTTGTGTAAATATTTTAATTTGACTGTAAATCCTTTTATTGAATTTATTCTAACTAAATGAAATGTGGCTATATTAAATAACAAATAATTTATTCAGATATTAGATAATGGAAAAAAGTAATTTTCAAACTTTTATTAAATAATGAATGAATTATTTTTAAAAGTTCTGTTATCTTTATACAGTTAAATATTTAAAATACGTGATAATTTTTCTAAACGTGATTCGAAATGATAAATGTAAAGAGTCCTAAAACTTTCTAGTGGCTTACGCAGAATTTTTCAAGGTAGTTGCTACAATATTAAGAGTATAATACATTTTTTTTAATCAAAACTAATAGAGAATAATGACAATAATGATATGATCTTCATTTGTTATATAGATTGTTTAGTAAGTAAGAAAATGGGTTTCTATTGTTATTATTATTTATAACAATTGACCTGTTTCCTTACTTACTAAACACTCTGTATAATATTTAAGTACACAATGAGGAATAATAATTTTTAAATTTATTCTGTAAATATATAAAAATGAAAAATGACCTTGTTCAATGGCATATCCTAACTCCTTGAAAACGCCCTAAATATGTCACTAGAACACAATCCGCAAATATTACAATTGAATAATTGTTAATCATTCTAATTACGTATGAAACAATTCACATTCATCTCAGAAAAATATAGTCGACTGTAAAATTTGAAATACCCTGTATTTATATTTATAATTTTAAATTAAAGTTTTTTTATTATTGACACTAATGTAAATCGTTCTTTTTTTTTTTAAGCGAATTATAATATGTATGTAAATTATGTCGGCAAATATCTATTGCATGTTTTACATGTACAATATTATATTCTAATTTCTTGTGTCGAGAAGATTTTTCCTACTGTGAGCGTTGGTTGAAAGCGCTCGTGATATTTTGCTGAATTTATAAATGATTAATTGGTAAGATATCTATACAACTTATGAATTAATAACGTGTGCAGTTTTAAGATGCTATAATATATTTTATTTCAATTATAAAGCCCACACTAGACTTCAAATATTATACGATTTATTATTTAAAAATAGTTAATGTTTTATTTATTATCTTCAAAAAGAAACTGACTCAAACTAAACGATTCTTTGCGCTTATAGCTTTTGAAATATCTAAAAAACTACTTTAACTAGTTATTTGTTTGTCGATTAATGTATTATGATATTTAATAATTTTTAGATTATATAAAATATAAATTTAAAATACAATAATTTTAATAAACATGTATAATGTATTTATTTATTAAGTTGGTATTTACCTTCCCAAATATCGAATTTCAAATTGTTAAAACTATTTCATTGTTGGTATGAAATTAGTCAGATTTCAATTATACTACTCAAGTTCATAATAATTGTTTTTTAATTTTCAAACTATTAATGTAATAATTATTAATTACATATTATTATACAATAGAGGCACTTGGAATGCAATAGCCAATGAAATTTTTTTTTTAATATTGAGAAAATCTAATGTAAATTTTGTGTATTTACCATGAAAAATAAAATCTCATTTTCATCATTTATTTACTAAATAGAAATATTAATATTTAGTTCAAATTTTTGCCTAACTCAATTATTTTTAATTGCCACTTGTATCCCATAAATTCTAAGCGATTCATATACAATTTAGTATTGAATTATATAATTTAATACCGAATATAAAAATGTGTTTAAAAACATTAGCAAGACATATATTAGCTTTGATGCGTTTTTCACTTAAATATAATAATAAGTACATAAATCGTTGTAAAAATTAAATTAATTATTACTTAAATGTTTATTTTATCATGTATTTTGATTTAGGCGCATTAAGAAAAAGGTATAATATCAAACTGTTTATAACATATAAATAATTATATGTTATTTATCATTAAAATTTGTATGATGCATAATAAAGTAATATATCTGCATATTGAAGATGTTAGTTTGTAAAACGTGAATTTTTTAGAAGAAAAAGCTTTTCCAAGTTAGAATAGTAGTTCAGTGCGGATGTATGAAAATTTTTGTGATACAAAACAAAATAATATATCTGCATGTTAAAGATGGTAGTTGTAAAACGTGATTTTTTTTTTTGAGGAAAAAAGCTTTTTCAAGTCAGTTAGTTCAGAGCGTCAAAGTTTTCAATAAAACTACATAAATAAAATTTAAAAGTATTGGTGGTAAACAGTCAAAGTTCCGGAGAACGGGAAACAAAATAATATAAGTATAAATTTTTGTGCCTTTGAGTGACTTCTGTTTTGAAAATTGGCAATTGACTTCTGTCAGTTTCGAATATTTTATATAGAAACTAATATACTTAACTGATTGATGTTTAAATCACTGATCGATAAATAAGACACCAGCAATAGTTATACGTATTGTAATAAACCAAACTGAATGATATTGTCGTCTATAAGTTTGACGTTTAGCTCAAAGTATTATTAAAAACTTAAATTATAATAAACTGAAAAAAAGTATTTTTTTATTTATCGAAATCACTTTAACGTTGCTTGAATACATATGTCAATATTAAAATATCTTTTGGTAAGCCTGTAAAAATTCAAGTTTTAATTTGTAAAACAATGATGACAATGAGCATTTTTTTTTAAACGCTTTATTAGCACTTTATGCTAATAAAATGTTCACATATTTGGAAATGATTTTCCTAAAATACAGTCACCAAGATCTTTCATAAAAAAAATTTTTGGAAAATGGTCATCACAAGTAATTTTTCTAAAATTAGCATATTTTTTATTGTTTGATAATATAATAAGTTTTAAAGATTTTACCAACTTGTATAAAATACTATAAATTAAGAATCAGTTGTTTAGTTTGTTATTCGTAATCCAGCAAATATGACTTTCGAATTTTTATATATAAAGTTATTACGACTTAAATAAATACTAAAAATATCATCATTGTCGTTAAACAAATAATTGATCATTTGAAAATTATACATTTTTAAGAAAATTTCAATGAGCTTTATATTCTGGAGTAAATACATTCATTTTAACACTATACACAAATTGAATATTTTAATTTTTTCATATATAAATCTTCTGATTTTTTTTTTTACAGATATTTCATAGTAACCAATTGGTTTTTTAGTTACTAAATAATTTGACTACAACAACAACAGGTCGTAATGAATTATTTTCGTGAAATGCATTTTATTTTATTAATAATAATAATTTCAAATGTTATCATTGTTTTTACAACTCAGAATGCTGAAAATCAAGTAACTATTACTACTGACGATATGGATAAACTCATTAGGGATTATCCTGCATTTATAAAAATGACATTGCAAAATAATGAATATTACACGGGAAAAGATGTGTCCCATTGTTCTATGCCTGACGACGAAAACACTACTATAGATGATTCCGATATTGAGCAGTATAAAGTATCCAACTTAAGAGAAAGTATCATTGGTCAAAGATTAGGAAATATCATTAAACCGTGTCTTAAAGACAACACACAAATTACCCAGTGTTATACTCACTATCTGAATGTTATAGAAAGCGTTGGTTTAACATTAGTAGACAGATATTGTTTATTTGAATATGAAGTTTGGAATAGACTTCAAGATTTGGAGTTTAGTGTAGATTATATAGAAAATTATAGTTTATTTAACATTGATATTAACATTCCATTATTATTCTCGATTGTAAAGAAATTTGTTACTCTTTTAGAAAATATTTCTTTTACATTTAAACAATATGGTATTTCTACTATACCTCTTGACTGTGTTTCGGATGCCATGGACTGTATGCCTTTATATTTTCAAGAGGGTATGTGCGAAGATGAAAAATTTAAACATCATTTACAAACATGTCGGGCATTAATGAAATCAAAATTAAATTATGCTGCATTAGACAATGATCAACACTGGGAATGGGATATTACTTCCGATTCAAAACCTAATGACAACTCAATAATTCTCATACAACAAACAAATAATGATATTGGATTGAATTTATTTCCCTACAACAATTAAAAATAATTTTTCAACAAAAATTTTTTTTATACGTAAATGATAAGTAAATTAAAAAAAAATATTTTCTAAAATATCAATTAGCTATTTAATAATTTAGTTTATTATTAAAATTAATCTTATAACATTGTAATACTTTAATATAATGTAGAATCACAGTTGCAAAATTAAAAAAAAAAAATGTTTAGTTTAATTAAAATTTTTATTTTTACTTTACTATTTATTAATAATGTAATAATATTTCACTAATTTTGGTGTCTTAATAAATATATTGTTAACTGATAGTACAATAACTATCATAACCAATAAAAATATCACTAAATTTTTATGATATATTTTTGTTTCTTTTGACTGCATATGACAAGTTATACAAGTTTTTCGCGTAAATTTTGTCTATAGTTTTAGCTAAGAATAGATAAGACCGCCTTTTTTGCAATCTTATTAAAAGATAGGATATTTGATTAAAAAGTTAAACATATTACTAGTCACATTTATTATAAATGATTTTGTTCAGACAACTAAGTTATATCTTAAAAGTTTATTATTATTAAATTAATATGTTTATAATGATAATTATAACTATATAAACTTTTATTTAATTTATTGAATGTCCTTAAGGAAATCTAATAAATATTACCGAGTGATTGATTTATTATTTAACATTAGATTTTTATTTTGAAATATTTAATGTTAAAAAATAACTAGTCCATAACAACTATTTAATCAAGAGTGGAGAAGTGCAACACAGAGTGTTGCTCATCAGTCTATATATTAAAATGTAAATAACTTTTAACAAATTGATTTAAAAGATGTTAATTTTTAATCATTTTTTTATTTTATAATTAAGTTGAACATATATTGTTATTTAAAAATTTATACTCATGTAAGGAATGAGGATTGGACACAAAAAATATGTAACTATTAATAAACCAAGAAATAAATACTTAAACTCTTAGCGACTGATCACTCTGAATATATATATTTATCTACGTATTAAAAATCTATGGATCCAACAATTCTGTTTTAAATTAAAAAAAAAAAAATTATAACATTAATAATTAATAGAACTTTATTTATTATTTAATTATATAATAACTTAAAGAATCCAAGCCGATTAAACAAAAAAAAATGTTTAATAAGTTATCTAGAATTGATAGATACTTTAACACCTTTTTTCGACCCTGTGTTGATTATTAAGGTATTATAAAATTTTAGCATTGATTTTATTTTAATAAATTTGAATTTTTATTGGTATACACATTTGTATACATTTTCTTTATTATTAAACAAAATTATTCTTATGCACTGTTATGAACTAGAATAAATTAATTCAAATTAATGTATATGTATTGATATACAGTTTTAGTTAATAGAAATTCAATTTTACTTTTAAAAGAAAATACAAGAGTTTTTTTAAGTCACAATGTCTATAAATTTTGTATTGTGTTTGTTTTGTTGTAATATAGAGTTTTTAAGATTGTAATAACATATTTGTAAAAATTCTTTTTTCAGTAGTTAAATTAACATCATTAGCTTCTTTAAAATTATGAATTTCTTTCGATTTAATATATTATAAACTATAGTATATAGTTTTCGCTGCTCATTAAAACTAAATAAATCATATAAAAAATGTATTGTTACAAAATAATCTTAAAATGTCTTAATGTAATATTAAGACAGTCATATTTTCTTATTCATTGGATATTCTCTTTGCTAAACCAAATATACCTCCGGATATTCCTACTTTCTATAGACCAATTAGTTTCCTGTTATTCTATCAAAAATACCCGAAAGACTTATTTCAAAACGGATAAATGTTAAAGATAACAACATACTGATGTGCATTACACAGCACATACATCAAATACACAGAGTGGTAGACATTATTTCTGCATCCCTGGAATAAAAACAATATTGTACTTGTTTTCTTTTTTTAGATGTTTCACAGGCATTTGATCGTGTCTGGTAAAATGGATTATTATTTAAGTTAAACAAATCCTCTCTATAACTTTATTACTTTTAATTAAATCATACCTATCACACCGTCACTTTCAGGTCCAGTAATGTTCCTTAATATCTAGTATTGCAAAAATTAATGCTGCTGTTTTCTAAGGATGAATTTTATTTCCCTTAATTTTTAATATTTTCAGTTCTGACCAGCCCATTTTTCAATAGACTTTTGTTGCCGATTAAGCTGATAGAAAAGTTATTATATCCAATAGCGAGGACTCATTAACTGCTTTCTCTAACATGAAATTAGATCTTAACCTCATGTCTGGGTTATATGAAAATGTGAGACTTAAAATAAATCAATTCACAAAATTTCACACATAAACAAGGCATATGTCCCAATATTACATTAAAGAATTTTCTGATTTCTATAGTGGATTCGGACTCGTTTTTGGGAATTATCTTAGATAATCGACTAATCTGGAGTCATAATATTAGCAGTACAAGATTATCCCTTAAGAGAACGAATGCGCATTCTAAAACCCTTTTCAATTAAGATAAATATTACCAGTCTAAAAACTAAACTTTTAATTTATAAAACGCTACTCAACCTATTTGGACTTACGAACTACAACTTTGGCGCACTGCAAAAAAGTCAAACTGAAACAGAATCCAAACGTTTCAAAATATAACACTTTGATGAATCTCCATTTCCCTACCATATGTCTCTAACTTTACCCTTCAAAATGATTTTGCTATTAAACTATTAAGGAAGAAGTACACCTTTAATACTTACGTTTTTCTAAACGACTTCAAAACCATCCCAATCCCTTAGTAAATGACCTATCCATCTCCACACTCCCAGGAAATGTTCGCCGTAGGCTAAAAAGAAAGTTATGTCTTATGCAAAACTTATTAGTAGCATTAATTCAAAAAATAATAATAATAAATATATAAATAAAAAAAAAATATATAAAAAATAAATACTAATATTTAAATGTAAAGTGTTGCTAATGAGTGACATCTTATCAATTTTACATGTTATATATTTACATTATAAGCTTACTGCACAAAAAGTTGTATAGTTGTTTATATCAAATAAAAAAAAATACACACATATATATATATATATTAATATCTGTATCAATTTTTTAAGTGTCTAAATTTTAAAGATTTTAATGATCTTACAAATTAATTTTTTTTATAAAATGATAAATTTGATGACTTAAAGAACAATGTTTTAAATTCACTTTTTCTCTTTCCGTTTTTTCTATTGTTTAAATATATGAACTATCATTAATTTTGTAGATAATTATAAATTAAATATCACTATACAGGTCATGCCTTTATTATTAATCACTCGATTTATCTTAAAATAATAATTATGTTAAGAAAATTCTTTTTGATATTTTTAAATTTTATATAAAAATATCTTTCTTGTTTATCAACTTTTAAATATTTTTTTAATTTATCTCATATACCTTGGGTGTATGAGTTAAAGGGTATAAACTTTATTTCCACATAACAGTTTCATATTTTAAATCAAAATACATTTTGCAGTTTGAAAAAAATTTCATCAATTCTATATAATAGTAGTACTCCACGTGTTAAATGTTTTTATTTTATTAATGAAGTTGAAAAATTAAAGACGTTTTATTAAGTCAAATATAACAAAATAATTTTCTGTTCGATAGATGCAATTTACCAAAATATTTCATTTCTACTTCAGCAAATATAGTTTTATATAATGACTATACTTTGCTTATTTTTAAAAATGTTTTTGTTAGGCGAATACCTAAAACAAATAATGTAAATTTAATTAAAAATTCATCAATAGTAGGGTAACATCACCAGCGTGAACTAACAACGCTTTGTTTTTAAATAAAAAATTATCTAATCACATGGTAATAAGTTTTTTTTAGCAGTTTTCAACATAAAATACTAAATTTAAATGTTTGTGTTAGTTAATCATAAATATTTTAATATTGTTATTATAGAGAATTTTCTAGTGAACAAATATTTATTAACATTTTGAATGTGACATCATAATATAAATTATTAAAAAACTTTAAAAGATAAAACGCTGTTACCTGTTCATTCACTCTATATTGTTTTAAGTATTATACATATTAAGTGTTTTCAATAAATTTATTAAAGTTCCANATTAAAAAACTTTAAAAGATAAAACGCTGTTACCTGTTCATTCACTCTATATTGTTTTAAGTATTATACATATTAAGTGTTTTTAATAAATTTATTAAAGTTCCAAAATTTAATATGTTTCACTAAGTCAATCATAATAATATATATTTTTAGTGAAAATGCATCGAAAAGAACAACGCGTTAAATCATTAATATAAATGACAATTATCAAAAATCGTATACACAACAAGCAAAAAATATTATTTCAATATAAAAATTGAACAATTATGTGTTTAAACGATAATTTGTCACACACATTATAATACATATACTGAAAAATGAATGACATTAAAAATTATACATACGACTATTTACGTTTCAAACGCTTGCAACGATATAATTTGTCGTTCAGATCGTTAGCATACAATGCCACTTTCTTTCATTTTTTTTTTAGTGGTTTACTTCTATTAATATGATATCTCAACTGCAATTTTTTGCACTTGGTATGAAATCGAAGAGCAAATCTTCATATCGACTTGGTATAACTTTAAACTGGCAACAGCTTCAATTTAGTCGAGAAATCCGTTTAGACGGATCATACATTTTGGACACGTTTTATAACAGCACAATCTAAAATTTCATTCTTCCAATAATCATCCCTATAGTACAAAAGTGCATTCACGACTATCGTATGTTCAGTCATCAAACGATCCATGAGACGGATGAGATCTGGACCAAAGGACATTTTTCGAAACTCAGCGATGACGTGAGTGCCACACATTAAACACTTGTAAATCTTATCTGTTTCTTTTAACAAACCAATTATGTGAACCGTGTCTGTAGAGATGGTATTGAAAGTTTTATGGAACACTGCATCTTCATCTTTTATAATTGACTAACAGAGTAAGTAAATCGTACACCGAAATGCAAATATCATTGTACAAAATTATGAGAAAAAGTTTAGGAGCTGATAAGAGTTGACGACGGTAGGACAGGTAGTGAGTAACATATCCTATTTGTTAGTGGTATTTATGAAACAGTTAACACGTTTCAACAAAGAAACAATTGTTTTTTAATGGTCAAATAATTTAAACCTTTTAATTACATTATTTGCTAATTTCTATATCTGAACTCTAAATCTATAACAAATAAGGCGGTAACTAACTTTAACAACTTTTCAAATCAAAAAATGTATTATACTTTATTTAAATGTTTTATGTTTATTATTTTTTTTAATATTTTCATACCGAGGCAAGCCAAATTTAGAATAAGATCTTTTGAGTGTAGTAAAGTCTGTGTTCAAAAATTATTAGTTACTGTTTTATTCGTAGCCCATGTTAAATTATACTATATTAAAAAAATTTTAATTTTACATGATATAATCAATGCAACAAAATCAAATGTTGACAAATTTTTATTACAGTTTTTATGTAGTTTTTTTTGTGATTATCATTTATAAATTAACAAAATATATTATTAAATTCAGATACAATGTACAATACGCCTTTAGAAAAATTTCTTTGATATTTTTTTTAACGTGTAGTGGGTATAGAGTAGCTATAATATGAATAAAGTAATTTTTTTTTACAAGAACATTTAAATTATATATCCGTTAAATTTGAAATAAAATTACTTATTTTTTACAGGTAACAGAAAAGAAAGGGATAATGTCAGTAAAATAAATTAGTTTTCAGCTGCGTGAAACGGGGATTTGATTTTATTTAAAAAAATCGTTTCAACAACGCTTAATTATAATTTTATGTTCATTTTTTAAATACCAACTCAAGGCAGTCCTGAATCTTGATTCTATCAAAGGGATACACTTCCCCTACACTTTACTGTTATTAAATTATTAATGAATTATTACAGGATAGCAATGACGGCTGAAAAGCAAAAAAAAAAAAAACAAAATAAGTTTCTGCAAGAGATGAGTTCATATAAAAAAAAATCTTACTCCGTTTTAAGTCTTTCGAGAATTTAATCTTTCGACAAACTTTATCGAATTCAAATTTTATTTTCAATTAACTTTTGATTTTTTTAATTGCGTTGGAATCATTAGCATCTATTATGTATAAGATCTAACTCTATTAAAATCATTTTTCAACGGTCATAATTTTAAAAGAATAATTATTTTTTTCTGCAATACATGAATGCCATATTTACTACAAAAATAACGTTAACTCTTAAGATGACGGAAAATGTCAACAGTTTGAATTAAACAAATCAAATGGCCGGGAAACATAACAGGAATCAGGATTCGGACGGGCTAAGACAATAAAAACAACAATTGATCACTTTTGTTGGTATATACTTCCAATACATTAAATCGGAGTAACAGCATAGAGCGATAATAATTAATTTTTAGAGTAACAATAATCACATAATTAATTGATAAACGCTCTATTAAAAATATACAAGTGTAATTTACAACCTAAAATTAAAATAAAACAAACAGCCCTATAAAAGTATTTACTTCAGCCGAAATAGCGCAATATATTATTGTATATCAATGAATGATCATAACATTCCAACAGAAAAAAAAATTAAAGTTAAAAGAAAGGGAAAGGGACAATAAAATATGTTGCTTAAAAATTAAAAACCCGTTAAAATCGACGGGGATCACTTGTAGGCGTCACTATAAAATAAGTTACTGAGTTTCCGTCACCGCCGCCCCCCCGGCCGCATCAACAACACCACCACCTCCTCCACCTACGCCGTTAGCGGTTTCTTCCACCGTCTGTACGGGCGTAACTTCTGTCGTTGCTTCCGTAGACGAAGTGCTGCTAACATTTTGACTTGATGGCTGCGTGTCTGAAGTGCGCGCCATTATCCGCCTCCTCAACAGTACGGTACGTAAACGGCCAAGATTGTTCAGACCGTTCATGATGCTGAAATTTTGGATGGGCCTGATGGTCACCTGTACCGGGTTTCCAACAGTTTCAGGTCGTCGGGCGTCTGTCTGCGCAGCAGCCTGTTGCTGTTGCCGCTGGATGATCACTTGCTGCAGTTGAGCCTGCTGCAAGACGTACGGCAGTTCATAATGATGATAAAAATAAATCATCGAGTGCTGAAAAATACAAAATGTTACTTTTCTTAGTGTGAATAAATTGAGCAGACTTGAAAATCCTGAAACCTCAACTCCATTTAACTAAATAAAAATATTTATTTAATCCATATTTAATTTGATATTAGTAACAATATAAAAAATGTTTCCGCTATAAATTTTCTTCGTATGTTTTTATTCGAAAAATACGTTTAAATATTTCGCATCAATATGCTAAACTATTTTTATAAACAATAAAATGAACAATTGTCGCTTTGGTTTTCACAGTTTGAAATTCAAAAATGCCTCAGTATAAAAAATACGCTACTAAAAACCAGTTAAACTTCGAATAATACAATAGATATTATTTTTTTTATAGCGCATTTATGTATTTAAGTACATCAAACACAAGACGACCAAAGTTGGGTCGAATTTTTAATAGCTCTAACACATTTTCACATCATTCATACAAAATATTATGTATTTATATACACAAATAAGATATAAAAGAAGTACAATCATCAAAATAATAAGAACAAATATTTGAATTTGTGAGCTAAATAATACTTAACCGATAACTCTGATCTGAGTACACTGTAGTGCTCAGGACCAAATTCTATCATTGCTCTCGGTTTTCTAACCTTATATCTGTTGTTTTTTAAAATAGTTTTTTTTTCCAAATTAAGTAGATAAGAACACCAAAAAAATAGCCTTTAATGTTAAGCTATTTCAAAACGGGAAAATTTCAAAGTTTTCATTTTTGTTACTGACTAACACATCATCATAATTATAATTTTTATATATAAGACACTTTCCGTGTAGGTAGAAACGTGAATTTTGACTCGAAAATATGTCTTAAAGTTTAAGTAAAGAGAAAAATCTGAAAATTGTTATTTTCTCGAAATAAACGGTCTTACGATAGCAACGTCATTTAAAAGTGACAGGACTGGTGAAAGGAATGATATCTTCAACAAAAAGCCAACTTTTTCAGTAAAATGAAAGTTAAAATAAAAATTTTTACACGATAATAAAGAAAACAAAACAATAAATGCAAAACTTAATTAAGATGTTCTGTATTTAAAACTTTAAATGTATAGGCAATATATTTTATAATAAATTTTCAACTATTAGGAATAGGCTAACGATATATTTTATTAATACTAAGATACTTAGTCTATGATTTAAGTGTATAGTACGAACGCTGCATCGAGTATTTAAAAAAAACCACTGACGTATAAAACTGGTACGATAATGTCTTTCTTCGTTATTAAACATGAAAGCGTCTCACCGTTTTTGATCGTTTGATTTAACAAAATTCAGTCATTAGGTTCTCTAGTGAGATATTTTACCATTATGTAGCAATGAACATAAAATAAAACAATTCTACTCCGCCTGTCATTTATTCAGCACGTTCAATGTAATGAAAATACTTATAATTATTATTAAACGCAACGTCACAAATTGCTTACGTTTAATTGAACAATATGTCCTTTTCGGCAAATATTACGAACCAAAAAAATAACTGACGATTTAATAAAGTAAAAAAGCTCCAATCATAAAACGGTCTACGAGGGTTGGTTAGTAAATGCTCACTGTAAAATTTAAATGGAAATGTCGTATCAACCCTAAGGAATGTTACTCGGAATTCACTTTGGTTATGACCCTTTAACACCCATGGTTGCTGCTATCCTTGACATCTCTATAAACTATTGAGCTTTTGCAGCCGTTTATAACACAACACTGCACACAGAGAGGACAGTTTTCGGCGTTAAAATTACATTATACCATAAGTTTGCGAACACATCATATAATATTTGCATAATACAACCCGTTAATAAAAATAAAATATTTACAACCGAAAGTAACAACGTGACGCTTTAAAACACCGAGAACTCGACTATCAAACCTGATCTCATTGTGTGGTCACATCAATAATGTTGTTTCATTAAGACCAAGCGCCAGATAATTACAGTCGGAATAAATGTTTACATCTAGTTGAAAACGAAAATATTTTACCCGGTGTTTTTTGTAGAAACCTTGAGAATAATTTGTTTGCTGAACTCTCGTCGTACTATGACGATAGAAATTCGAGATATTTTTAAATTGGGTCTTTTTTAACAATATTTTTGTAAGGCGGTCGGTATTACCTGAATGAAGAACCACGAACAGATGAGCGCCAGATTGCTGTACTGGCCGTTGAACCGATAGTGATAGGCGTAGAACGAGAAGTGGTACAAATAGAAGAACCTGAAACAGATCGATAGAAAATAGCGTAAGCGTTTTACAATAGTAAATACGATAGCCCGAATCTAAATTTAGCCGTTGGTTACACTTTTGAGAACGACTGACGCACGCACCGTGTCAGGGGAGGCCGTCGGGGGAGATTATAGTGCAACGCTCTCAATACACAGTTTTGTTATGTATTCTCATTACTGTTGCTGGCGGGCGGTCAACGGGATCCCGTGGCGTTTTCGGGAGTCTTCTCACTTACAGTTTTTTTTCTTTCCCTGTCAATATCGTAATGCACTTATGGCGCCGACAGTTTCCGCGTCGAAACACTTGTGCTGCCCAGTACGGTAAAGTGTTATGTACACTGGTACACCACGCGCCAAAACGCCACGACCTCCCGCCGTCCATTTATTATATGCGTACGCGGGCGAAATGGCTTTTGCCGTACAACGATATTATCAACTAGTTTATACTCACTTAAGCCAATGTCTTTTGGTGATCGGGCAGTGGCTGCATATAGTGTCGTATTGGTCAGCCACCCACACGATTAGAATTATGTAAAAAGCTGTGGTGGTGTCGTTAAAAAACTCCGACATTATCGCTTCCATCCCTGGCAAAAACAATTTTTTCACAAGACACCATTGTAATTAAAAACAATACAACAATATATAATACATTACAAAATAATAGATAATTGTTTTACAAATAAAAACAAACACGACCAACGACCCGTGTCGTGTCATCCACGGCCTGTAGATGCACATCGAGTTGACAAAATTCTTAATTGTCAATGCATAAAATTACATACACAAATAATAACTTTTAAACGAGACGGGTACGATGCGCACCACTGAACTCGAATGACGTGTATACGATGCGACAGGTTTTAATAATCCGTCGCCGAAAAAGCGAGGGCGATGAATCGCGTACATGTGTGTGTATTCATAGACACGCGATTTAGGGGAACGGATTGTTTTTGAAATATTATTACAATAGACAATACACTTACCGACTAGAGCCAAGATGACTGTCAAAAGAGGGGCCGCGGGAAATGATAGTGACCCGTGAAAGTCCAAAAGTTGCAATAAATCCACTACAACAATAAAAAAGGGTTATTAAAAACAACTAAAATGTTACGAAATTCCTTACCGATAAAGATAAAAATTTGATGATGCGAATATCTTAACAGCATTGAAATTGAGACGGTCTGAAAATTATAATTATTGTAGTTATTGTTATAGTTATTTTAATAATTTTATAGTATTATATTTTAATGATTAAAAAATATATTTAATCTAAAAAGTTTTTTTACCGGCAATCTAAAAAAAGTATTGACTAACAGCAAGATCATCGTGCAAAACAATTTTTGTAGTATATCAATTATTATACATGTTGACATACATTTAAATACAAAATGTTATAAAAAAATTATCGGTTAATATAACTACAACGTAATATTCTGTTGCACAAAAATAATAATAGTTTATTTCATTAAAGAAATCAAAAATGGTAGAATGTTTGTTACTAAATTTATAGTTAATTTCTCAAATTATTGTTAGATGAATACAGCAGATCGTAAAAAATTAATAGGGTTCTATTTGAGTTATTCGGTTTAAAAGAAGTAACCCTTTTTACATACGTCGCTTTCATAAATTTCACGAGCTCATTCGACTTAATAACATTTTAGATATTTTATACGAGACAGCACGAACAAATTCATTATACATCGTTTATAACGTAATCCCACTGAAATTTGAAAATCATCAAGTTAAAAAGCAAACTGTAAAATTTTGTTTTTCCTACAAGTATACTTCTAATCTTCGAAAATTTCATACCAAGTGATAAAACGAAGAGCAATAAATAAAGCAATTAATTTGCAGAATAATTAATTCATTAGATATAAAACAACAATTTGAAAATGTGGCTTTTTATGGAAGAAATAACGTAGAACAAACTCTAGTAATTGGCAATAGGAGGAAGAGTATATAAAGTTGTATATCTAGACTGCGTTTCCCGAGAGAGAAAGAACATCGTATCTAATTTCAAGTACTCTTTTCTTATTGGTTTTCCTAATCATTATGTCGCCGCTACCAGGCAATTTCATATATATGACTTCATGGTAATATGATCGAAGACCCGTACCATTCAAAATTGATATACTGACATCATTCCCACCGGCAACTTAATTTACTGTCTCAAAAAATTATTCGATGCCATATAAAAGTTTAACACTATTGTGAATCATTTAAATTGTAGCATCGTAACTATTAGAATTGATTAAGCTATTTAATACTTATATTTAAGTCTTAACCTAAACATACTTACAAATACAACCATTATAAAGAACGAAGCAATATAAGATGTTCGAGCCATCCAAATGCTAACGAATCTGTAGTGTTCGCCGGTAATGACATTTCTGTAACAATATTAATAAAAAGGAATTCGTCATTTGCTTTAAAATGAAATAAAGAAAACTCACCTAAGATAACCTTTGTTTTGTTCGTTTTCAGCTAGAGATTTCACAGATGACATAAGAAGATCGTCATAACCGAGAAGATATTCTAAAAAAAATTGACCCAATGAATCGCCGAAACACTTGTGTCGATGAGGTTCCAGTGCGACTAACATCACAGGGATGCCTAATCTACTTCTAGCGTTGGGAGATAAACGTAGAAACCCATATTCTAATGAATACTCTACTATGTAATTATCATACAACGAGCCTTCGCCATTATTCTCTGAATTAATAGTTGATTGTAATGATGGACTACTTTTAAAATCAGTCGTTCCTTCAAGAGTAGAGTTTGTGTACTGAATATTAAAAATATACCAATTTAAAATACTTTCACTAATCTATATATTAAAGTAAATTTACTTTAGTAGAGCGAAACTGAGTATATTCATCTGTATTCGAAACGTTTGACTCAATTATATCCTCATTAAGCTCGCTTAATCGACTACTTGAAATCTCACTTTTGGAATCTAAAAAAAAAATTAAGTTTGTAAAAGAATCATGTCGATTTAAAATAATAAGTTATTAAATTACTATTAAGACATTTTATTTATAATTATTATTTTCTGGTAAGATTTATTTTATATAACTAAAAATTGTATGTTTTGTATAAATCACCTTTTTCAATAAAATTGAAAAAAATTATAATAAATAAATCGGTTATGCAGAATTAAAATTTTTAATTTAATTGTATAATCTTTTACTAAATGAAACATTTGGAAATGATTTCACTTGTATTTATAAAAATAAAATAGGTAAATTAATTCTTAACATTTCTTAATATCCTAAATTTTTCTGTACTAATACATAATACTTTTTATTTATTTATTAAAGTGTTTATATATTGCTATACTATTTATTATATTAGACTTTCAGAAATATCTATGCCTTTTATTTTATGCAAACATATTCAACAAATAGAAAATTCAACTTCAAACTCTTCAAAAGTAATAAGATGTCGTAGTTAGTTCCACAGATAATAAAAAATGCCTTAAAGATTAATTTTACAATAATTTATCATTTAAAATATTCCTAATAAAAATTTCTAATATGTTAAGTGCTTTAAAATCAAATATACTTTTTTATATTATATTATAAAAGGAAGAAATATAAAACAATTGCAAATATATAAAAACTGTAATAAAGAACATGAAATAACATAAAGTTTAGTTTCAAGTGTTGGAAAATCTATTGAAGTTAGTAAATAGAAATTTAATTATAATCATCAGATTTCATATCAGTTATACATACAGCTTTCAAAATAAGTTCATTCTAAGTTTGCAGATTTTTCATAATTTTTAATTAAATTTATATTGTATAGTTTTCATAATGACATAAAATTGTATTCTCACGTTATTTATTATATTTAAAATAAATTAAATGTTTAATAAAAAAAATATATTTGAAAAGTATTTAATGATCAATTGCCAATTATTAATATTTTCAAGAAAATCTTATACTTCAGTTTACGCTTTATTCATAAAAAAAGGTATAAGTTTATAAGATAAGTGAAAAAATTTTTTTCTTCAGATGATATACATAAATATCAGCCAAACTGCATAAAAAAAATTAATTAAAATAAATTTAAGCTTACTTGAAACCTATTAAAAAAAAATACAATATAATGATGCTAATTATGATATTCATGTTATCAATTTCTGACTTAAAATTTTTAAACTAAAAAATTTGTATTCTAAAGTAAAAACTAAATTAATTTGATATACTAATTATAATATTTGACCAAAAATTATATAACAGAGGAAATTTTTTTATTTTTTGGGGTATTTTTGGTCAAAATAATACAAACTTGTTGAGTGAACAGTAAATTTTTTTTTAAAATCTCAAATTTTCAAAAAATGTATATTTTAATGTTTACAATAAAGTTACAAGGATTTTCATTAAAATTTCGATAATCTACTTTTTTTATCCAATTTAATGGTTAGTCTTAAAAAATGAGAAGTGACACTGTGAAATAATCCAACAATTGCCAAAAATATGGGATAAAGTCATTTTTAAACCTATTAATTTCATAAAAATTAATATTATTTTGTTATCTGTATGGTCAAATGCTGTTATAAACAAGAATCCAACTTATTTTAAAAAAATAAAAAAGAAAACACTTAAATTTATGGTAAAAAATTATTAAAATTATACAGAATTTAATTAAAACTTAAGATTCAGTATTTAAAAATGAATACAATTTTATTGTAAATATAACTAGGAAGAAAATTTACCTTTATTTTTTATAGTTTCAGTAAATGAAATGTAATTTAAAAAAAAATTTGTTTTTGGAGTAGCAGTGTCACGGAACTTATTCCCACTAAAGTCATCTGCTACTGTTGAAGGTTCAATACCAACTTGTTCTTTGTTACTAAAACAAAATCAAAAATAATATTATGTATTACTAAAATTATTACACACTTAAAAAATTTATTCTAGTTGAGTGTATAATTTTGACCATCAATATTGTAGAAGTGGGAAATTTCTAAAAATTAAATTAAAGAAACTATTTAATGTAAACAACTTGTGTTCAAACAGGTGTAAACTATAAATTTGTATACAATTAAAAATAGGTCGAATAATGATAGTTTTCTTTAGGATAACTGTAAAACGTATACTATGATAGTTATAAGAATAGAAAGAAGTTATATTTTTGTGTGTTAAATTATATTTTTTTTATAAAAATGATTTTATATTCAATTATTAAAATGACATATTGGTTATTTTGTTATCAAATCTATCATTAAAAAATATTTTGATTTTCTATAATTTCACTATACAATAATACACTATAATTCAATAATACACTAGTTAATAACAAAAATATTAAATTAACCTAGGTTTAAATAATCTAATAACGTAAATAATTTTAAAAAATATATCTTTGATAAATTATTTTTTATTCAACCAAAAAAATAGTCAAATAAATATAAACATGAATATAATTAAAGCAATAAAGTTTAATTTTTAATAGAACAAACAATATCACACAACTTGAATATGTAAGTCTATAAAATGTTTTTATATATGTAATTACCTAAGGATTAATAGTTAAAAGAAAAAATAATCATATTATATGGGATAAATTTTGAAGACCTAAAATATAAATTATATTCTTTTTTAATATTTAATGTCAATAACACTTTAATGGTAAATGTTGAAAATATAAGATTAGCAACTAAAGACATAAATAATAAAACCAAATTTGTGAAATCCTTAGGTGGTTTTAATGTTTGATAATAGCGGGTTAATTTTAATAAACATTTTTTAAAATAATATTTCGAATCATTAGTTTTTTCATAGGATGAAAGCCTTAGGTCTATAAATATAGTTTTATAGAACTAATAATTAATTTACCTATTATTAATAAAAAAAATGATTTACAAGGTGTTTACATAATTATGGAACTATACAATTTTATTCAAGGATAGTATTCTTCAACTTTTCCAAAAAAAAAAAAAAAAATGTATTTTAGTTTAATTATAAGATACATAATATTATCCTGGCAATTACCAAACATTAAGATGATCAGTGCCAATAGTGATTATAGAAGATTAAATTTTATATATTTTTTAATACTGATACATTAAAAACAATTGAAACTAATGAAAATTGTTATTAGAGAATATAAAATTTAATATTAATATTACATATAGTATAATTAGTCTAAACCAATTTGAAAGTGTATTATTTGCCTTAATAAGCATAAAAGAGATACATGAATTAAGTAAAATTAAATTAGCCATAAAAAATTGAACAAAAATAATTAACTTTGCATTATAATTTTAAAATAAAATGGAAAGTATTTAACTTACTCTTGATTATCAATTTTACTAAATGAACTTGAAAACATTGATGCATTTTCTTCATTTGTTTCAACTTGTTTCAATAAATATTCTCTTTCATAAGATTTTTCAACTGAATATAAGTCATTTAAAGTTCCACTCTTTTCTGCTAAAGAATGTTGGTATGGCCTTATAATCTCAACTCGTAATATACCATCTCTAGGCCAAATGTCTTTAACATGATCTAAACAATTTGATGGCATCCGAGAAAAATTCATATGAACATATACAAGTATAAAAAAAGAAACAACCGCCTTGAAAAAATATAATATTAATAAATAAGAACTAACTTATACTATAGATTAATTTTTTACCTTTAATAAAAATACAAATTCTATAAGTCTTCTGAATGATCTCGGAAATATTCTTGCATAGCCCAAAGTAGCTTTGTAGAATAAAGCATAAAATAGTCTATCTCTTACATTGAAAGCTTGGTTGTTATTATTGTTATTGTTATTATTATTTGTTGTTCGAATAATATCTGCAGGCATTGGAGGCAAAACCACCAGTTCTTCATGATCAATACTATTTGCAGGCATTTTGTATTTTTCAATTGATTAATAAAAAAAATGTTAACATGTGACAGCAGATGCTACACATCATTTTTTTCTCCTAAATACAAATTAATAAATATTTTAAATTTACATTAATTAGTAACATGTTTTATTAATAAGTTATATAGATATACGACAATGAAATTAATAATTTAATCTTTCTACTACCTAAATGTTAGAATTTTCTTATATGCAAAATTTATGCAAAGATATAACAAAAAAATACATATAATTTCATATCATATAAATGCTATACGATCAAAATTTGTACACAACAATAATATTATCAATAATATCTTAAGATAAAAGTTGGTAAGTAATCAAACGATCGTTGCTTACCAGTAAATCACATTAAGTGAACGTACTAATTTGCTGCTCTACAATAATATTTGCAAAATTAGTTTGATATTATGCTATAATGCGATTGATTATTTATAAAACCACAGTTGAGGAAATGACAAAACAGGTTTTACTTGAAAATTCGTCAGAATACTTATGACATGGGTACCTAGTCAGCTGTGTGAATTTTTATCATTTTTCACAGTACAAGATAATGCCTGTGATAATATAATACTATAAAATAGTAGTTCCTTATATTCATTAAAATGTTAGGTTTTATTGTTAATGAGGAACAATTATATTTATTAGTGCGAATGATTCCAAATAACGATAGAAAAACAAATGGTTTTTAATGATATTTTTAAAATTCAATAGAGATATATCTATGTTTTTTATGTACATAAGCTGTTTTTATTTCGAAGGTGATCTAAGCCAACCTACTGTTATCCTAACAGATATAGATAATAAATTAGATTGCTAACTAGTGATAATGACTGAAGCCAAATAATCGCCATGTTTCTGAGGATAACTATTTTTTTCCTATACATCGTATGTGAATATTTTTGTTATTAACAACTTCTACTATGATAACAAAATAATTTGTACACGAAGTATAGAAAAAAAATGTTGCCATCAAAATGGATGGCGGCTATTTGGCTTCACCAGCTAACATAAACAATATTGAGCAGTTAACAACCCTATTTATTATCTATTTCTGAGGTTGCCCAACATGAGAAATTGATAATATCATCACGATAATCCGATATAATATACAAAAGATTGGTTTATCACTTAATTAATGATTAAATGATTATTTTTATTTTAAATTGATCAATATGATATTCCTGTTTAGAATATTATGATAAATGAAAATATAAAACCAAAGTTAAATGCCTCAAAATAAATATTCTTAAGAAATTATAACCATTGTTTTTTTTCAACAATTCAGTTTTTAATATTATGATTTTTATCAAACAAAGGGCGTTATGTATTATATTAAAAATCATTAATCTTAAGAAAAATATATTTTCTTTTTATAATTGTTTTTTTTTTAAATTTGCTGAATTTAAACAATAAGCATCAGACATGTAACTACAGACTAGGCCGAGTGGGACAAACTCATCTTAATTTTACCCTAAATCAGATGCAGCCCCCAAGATCAAAATATAATTATTTTTTGAGCAACAAAATGCTTGTTGTTCATCATGAAAAAAATTAAATTGGCAAGATTAATCAAGGTATATTATTAAAAAGATTCTAGATAAAGATATGACTATTCTAAAATAATGTATTTAAGAAACCTTCAAAATGTTTCAATGAATATTTATAATTTATGAAAAATCAGACAAGAACCTAAAATTGTTAGGCATTAGTAAATATTTCATGATAATATGTTTTAGGAACATTAATTTTTATTAAAAATAATATACTACAAACTATTATACAAAATAAACAATTATTACTATGATTATTAATTCATAAAACATTATCTACATCCATAGAGTTTATTATGAAATGGTAGCAACTAAATATTAAGTTAAATGTACCTAAATATATAGTTTAATGTAATTTAAGGCTCAATATATTAAATAATGTTTCCCAAATGTTAATAAAATACAATATTTATTATAATGGTATAGTTTAATTTTAAATGTAAAATTATAAATAAAACACTATTTTTTTAAGTGTAAAACTTTATTTTGCTAGAAATATTAACTTGTAAACAGAGAAAATTAAAAAAAAAAAACTTTGTGATAATTTATTTTCTATACCAACTCTGAGCTAATGTCATCCTCTTGATTTTTTTTTGTAATTGTAATATCCCATACATTAATGCTTCAGCTGTAGGAGGGCAACCTAAAAAGTAAAATTTATACAAATAAGATAAAAGAGTACTTTAATTATAGTAAACTGTTTTCAAAATACCTTTTTTTTTTAATCAGCTTATTTTTATTCTTCTTCTTCTTCCTCGCCTTAATCCCAACTACTTGGGGTCGGGAACCTTTATCCTAAACTTCCACTTGACACGATCTCCCACATCATTTACGCTCACATCAGCTGTCCTCAAATCACATTCAATAGCATCCCTCCATCTCTTTTTTGGTCTTCCTCTACCTCTTCTTCCTTCAAAATTTATTTCTATAACTATTCTTACAGTTTCCGATTCTTCTCTCCTCATAACATGATCAAACCATCTAAGTCTATTTTTTCTCATCTTATCCATGATTAACGCTAAACTTATACTTCCTCTTATATGCTCGTTCCTTATTCTATCTTTTCTAGTCATTCCATTCGCCATCTAAGCATTCTCATCTCTGCTACACTCATTCTCTGTTTTACTCTCGTATCAACCGCCCAACAATACATCATCTGAACCATAAATCATAGCTGGCCTTATTACAGTCTTATAGAATTTACCTTTCACATCCTTGCCTATTGTCACTGACCTCTTCATTTCACCTACCTTGTGTACTCCTTTGTCAAACTTGTACTCTATACTTAGTCTTATTTCTACTTATTCTTAAACCCTTTTCTTCAAGAGCTGATCTCCACAGCTCTAGCCTTTGATTAATTTCCTCCCTATTTTCTCCTATTAACACTATATCGTTAACATACAACAATCAGCTTATTTTTATTGTTTTTATTAATAAAAAGGAGTATTATACCCTTACATTTGGCAAGCTTCAATAAAAACGGACATAACTCATATTTTTAACAAACATAAGAAATTAATCATGGCTAATTTATTAATAGAAAAAAAGTGATATCACAATAAAAGAATCCATTTTAAAATTTTGATAAAATCATCGTTCAACACTTCTTTCAAGAACATAAGCGGAAGTAATATAAAAAATTTAGGGAACTATAAAATATACAATATTTTTATTAATATTTTAACTTCTTTTTCCTTTAATTTTTAAACAAAAACAAACATTTTTAATTAGATTTAAAATAAGAAAATTATTTAATTAAAAAAACTGGCCAATAATAACAATTTTTGAATCATTATTAAGATATAATTTTACAAGAGAGACAAATAAGAAACATGAAAAAAACCCAGCACAGAGGGGTCATGGCACAGTGGTGACTTGGCATAGTTGGATCAGGCATTATGATATCTGACAGTGATTAAAATCACTATAAAAAAAAAAACGCTTCGATGCAAATCTTTAGATAGTGTTTAATTTTAAAAAATTGGTGGATTATTCCAAAAGCTACATGATCTGCTAGTTCATTATTAATATCCTAATTAAGATAAAGTATGTCAAATGAAAAAGGGATTATTAAAAAATATTATTTCTCATAAAAAAATAATGTTGATCCATACACTTCAATATGTCATAGCATTATAAAGTTAAAAATGTAAAAAATAAAATCGAGAATTTTCACACAATAATAGCATTCGGTAGCCATTTTCACCGTGAAGATAAAATAAAGTCCGAAATTTTTTTTTTGCATAATTAAGTAAATTACATTAGATTTAATTTAAGATATATATAAAAGTGTCAGTCTTTCCGGAACACTTTCAAAATTTAAGTTGAAAAAGTAAATTTTTTGTGAAAAAGTTATCGTTTTAAATCCCCACTCTGTGGGCAAGTAAAGGGCCAGATTTAAAATACACCAAATGATAGGTAAAAACATCAAGCATCTATAAAACAAAACTATACTGATTTGGTCATTTTTAAAAAAGTTATAGCAATTTTAAGAAAAAAAATTGAAAAAATTTCGAAAAATAGCGATTTTTAAATTTGTGATNAAAAAAAAAAAAAAAAAAAAACACATCTTAGTAAAATAATACCTTCTCAGCTTCGCATCGAAGCTAAAACTGTGTTAAGCATTAAAACTTTTTTTTGTATTACAAAATTATCAGTTTAGTTTATAATATATTCATAATGAAAAATATGTGCTAATTTAATTTTAAACCATAATTTAAATTAAAAAAAATTAATTAATTACAGGTATCAATTATTAATAAAATATTATTAAGTTGTCATCTCACTGATAACTAACAGATACTAAATTATATTAACTAATAAACCAGATAATATAATCTTTGGTAAAAAAATCTATATTGAATCAGAACACAGCAATTGACTAAAAGAGCTAAACTGTGTTAACTGATAATGTTTCTATTTTATTTTTTATATAATTGCACATCTGATCAAAGATGTGATCAGTTTGTGTAGTATATCATATAGTTAATGGATTAGATTTTTAAGAAAATTATTTAATAACGTATTTATAAGGTATACTAATTAGGTCATATAATTTTAGATACAGTAAGTTTTATTAAATTATGAAAAAAATGATATTTATTATTTGGCTTTCATTTACCTGGTACATAAATATCAACTGGAATTATTCTGTCACAACCTCTGACAACAGAGTATGAATAATGGTAATAACCACCTCCATTAGCACAACTTCCCATTGAAATAACCCATTTTGGATCAGGCATCTAAATTTTATTATAATTATAAAAAATGTTGGCAGTATAATTTAGTATTTTACCTGATCATAAACTCTCCTTAAGGCTGGGGCCATTTTATTAGTAACTGTACCAGCAACAATAATAAGATCAGCTTGACGAGGAGAGGCACGAAATACAACTCCATAACGATCCATGTCATATCTAGGAGCTGCGATATGCATCATTTCAACAGCACAGCAAGCTAACCCAAAAGTCAATGGCCATAATGAATGCTAAAATAATATAAATGTACATATTTGTCATTCTAAAATACACACTCTAAGAGGAAAGTATTATATGGCTCAAAAAAAATTTTTTTTTTGCTTTCCTGAAAGGTAAATTTTCATAATAGTGTATAGGTTAATTAAACAAAAGAATTGTTATATTTTACTTGACGAACAAAACCATATTCTTAAAAATATTTTGTCAGTTATTCTTCAAATGATAATTCTGAATCAAATTATTTCTTTGTATTTTCTTAGTATTAATGGTAATAATATTAATTTTATAGTAATTACCTTTCGGCCCCAATTTAAAACATCATCTAAGCGTGCAACAGCATATTCAGCCATATTATTAGTTTTTTGAAAAGGAGAGTATGGACGATACGGTACTTCTATAGTAAAAAACAATTTTAAAATTATACTATCTAGAGTATTATTAAACCTTATTTTACCTTCAACATATGAATTTTGAGGTTGTTGCTGTACTTTAGTTGATTCATTTTTTAAAAATACTTGACTAACAGCTGGATTTTTCAAAAACTTGTTAACAGTTTTAGTAATAGAAATCATTTGATTTGGTTGACCTATTTCATAAAATAAAACTTAATATAATACTAAAATGTTTTGTAGTTATACAACTATATCAATCATATTGATAATATGTTGTAACATTAACTAAATAGTGATAGGTATATATTATATAAAAATATTTCAGAGGATTTTAATTATTTATTTATCGCCCATTTTTGTTTAAACAATTAAAAATATATACAAAATTCTCTTCGGAATATTGGAAAATAAAATTGTCTGATTATTGCTTCGTCTAACATAATTTTTTTTTTTATGTTTTATATTACAAAATATTTAAACAACTTAATGTTAATTCATTAACATAGATAAAGATAAAAATTAAAGTTTTAAAATAAAATTTAATAATATTTTTAATTTTACAAGAAACTTAAAATAAAAAAAAGAGTATTCATTAAGTTAACGTAAAGTAAATATTTATAATTTCACTTACTAATTATCCTCATACTTAACTAGAGACAATTATTTAACAATAATGTACAAATATAATAAATTTAATTAATTATTTCTCAAATCAACTTTAGATTTTGAAAATTTAATAATAAAACTTTGTTGAATGTATCTTGTAATACAAAAATTTTTCTTATCAAATCTTATTCCCTGATTAAAGTGAACAGCTGTTTTCATGTTAATAATAAAACCATAAAATGGATTATCCTGTGAATTAACAACACGGGGTTACGTATGTGGCCAAAATAATAGATCAAAACATTTTTTGACATATTTCCATAAATATATAAATATGTCTATGTTTATTTCTAAGTAATTGATTAGATAAAAATCTAATAAAAAAAACGAACACAATAGAGACGCGTCATAGTTGGGACGAGTTTAGGTGACATAAGATAGTGATTAAAATCACTACCACAAAAAACGCTTCAATAGAAATCTGTAGATAGTGTTTAATTTTATGAAAGTGTTTTAATTAATGGAATTATTAAGTCATTTTTTAATTTATACATTAGGTAAACCCCCATACTGATCTATCGCCACTTATTCTGTTAGTGTCTTATAATAAATTCTAGCTTGTATAGATTAAAATAATGACAAATAAATTAAGGTCGAAACGTAAAACTGAACATAAACAGTGGCGTATTTTGAATGATTTCTCGGGTGGTGTCCAACTTTTAATGAACCTCACAAACGAAAATTATAGAAATGTTTACTGACGTAAAAAAAACTTACTATTTTAGGAATTGACAAATAATTTGAAATTTGAAATTTTGGTACTGTTGTATCTTAAAAGAAACAACCCTAGTGTCTTAACTTAAAGTAATAAAAGTTTAATAATAACTCAAATGTATTTATTATAGATATAATTAAACAATGCAAAACATACAAAATAAATATACACTAAAAACACAATAAAACAATACACAAAATGAAAACTTATTGTCATAAACGTACCGCGCGAAAAAAAATTACCTTCGGTGCTCCTGAGGTCCTCTCTCCTCTACGATTCATTCCATTTCGTCTTATATACTAAAATATTTTGTTTTTCTTCTTTTTGCAAAATTAATAATACTATCGTTTTCAAAAATGTTTATAAATATTTAATTCCTGGTCTAGTAATAATAGATCAGGAAATTACAATTAAACAAAACATTACAAAAATTATTTACTTCCACCTTTACAAATGATAAACTATATTACAGTATACAGACTGATTTTTTTATCATAACCCACTCATTTACTTGTAGAATAAATATAATTTAAACATTATTTTTGGTTTTCTTTAGTTACACATTATTCTTAAATTATTAACTATTTAAAACTTTTTATGTTCATCCCTTATGCCTTGTAAGGGTGTCAACTTTGTCTTTTTGTCTTTTAAATGGGAACACATATTTTGAATATAATAAAATGTTTGGATTTTTAATTAAATAGTAAATGGCATTTGAATTTTTAATATAACTTTATTAGTTTATTAGATATAAACATTTAAAGTTTCAAATTTTTGAGTTTATATACATGTATAATACACATGATGATATGATTACAAATACTGGTAGCTAAATGGTTTATATAATATCAATGTCGCAGTCACAAATTGATTATTATTAATTATGACTATCATAGATATACTTTCTGTATTGACAGTTAGTGTATTTATAAACTCACAACAATGTGCCTTACTACCATTGATAATAACAATGCTGTGTACCTGCTAATTTCTTTGAAGTTGTTTTAAACAAAGTAACTCATAACTAAATACTTTATTTATAATAAGTAAACAAATAATAAAATCTCCTTTCAGTATTGATGTTCGTAAATTACTTGCTTTTGATGATGTTTCAGTGTCATTCCACTTCGAAATTATAAATAACGATTCAATTAGGTACACAAAAAGCTCAAGAAAATCATTGACAGCATAAAAACGTTCAACTCATTTAGTCGCACATAATTGTTTTAATGATTTTTTAGTTATACATTTTTGACTTTCTTCGATTTGACTTTTCAACACATCTTTTCGCTTTGGGTATATGAAAAAATCTCTAACTTTAGATGTTGTTCCTAATCAATTTCGTGTTTTTTGTATAGAAGATGAATAAGAAATAGCAAGGTTTAAAACATGAACAGCACAATGAACAAACGTCGCAAGCGGATAACTTTGGTGAATAAGAGATTGAGCTCCGTTAAATTGACCAGACATAGAAGCACATTCATCGTAACACTGTCCTCTAATGTATTTTGTTTCTACACCAAATGAATGTAAACTTTGAATAATAATATATAAACCTTTTCCAGTAGTATCTGTTGTAGGCACAAACTGAAGAATTCTTCCTTGATAATCATATTTTCAACATCTAAATATCGAACACACAAAGTTACTTGTTCGCTTCCACCAATGTCGGCCATTTCATCAGCAAGTATTTTGAAACATCTTTGGGCATTTATGTTTGTCATGATTTTATTTAAAATAATTTTATTACAGGATTCAATTATTTCATTTTGAAGTGTTTCACTTGTATATTTTATTGTTTCTTCAGCTTCCAAAAATGATTTTAAACGGTCATCTCCTTGGGCTCTGTATCTTAATATTTCTCTAAAATTTCCTTGATTTTCTTGGATAATTTGTCATTTTCTTGATATATATTGAAGTTACAAAGATAGCCGTTATTGTCAAAAAAAAAAAAAAATAATAATAATAATAACATTAAAAATGCAAATAATAATTAAACATATAAGGTAGTTAAACCCTAAAGTTATTTTCGATTTGTTAAAGTCATTAAAATTAATTCAAATCTCCTGTTATTTTCTTTTATCAGAATTATTATGTCATTAATTCAATTATTAATTAAATTGTTAAACTATATTATATATTCAACTTAATAAATTTTTATGTTGATTATAATCGCATGGCATGATGTTTTTTGTTAATAACTAAATGGAAATAGCAATTTCACATGGGCAAAATTTTTAATAGTTGCAAGAGAATAAATCCAAACGTAGATATTTTATTTCATACAGATTAAATTTTTTATGCATAAATATTCTGTTAACCGATATCAAATTTATTCCACTTGAACTTTCATAAAAAAATCTCTATCATTTGTAAACTAATGTAATAAATAAACAAACAAATACAAAAGGTTTTTCTTCAAAATATCTTTAAAATATATATATATATATTTTTTTTTTGATAATTCTCTGTATTATTCTTAAAATATTGTATTCTTTGACCAATAATACAATTAAAATAAATAAGTATTGTTTATACTAAATTTATTTATAATTGGCTTATACATTTTTTTAATGAATTTTTACAATTAAGTTTCCTTGACAATTAGATGTAAATGTTGATTTTATCGACATTTCAGTTCACTTCGTTTTTTCCCGTGAAAAATAAACTATCGTCTTGTGTAATTATTAAGATTTATTTAATTAGTTATTGATATGGCAAGTGAAAAAAATATTTTTGGTCAAACAAATGAATCAAACTTACATAAGGTCATACGCAGAGTTGAAGAAATATGGAATCGTCGTTTCATGCATTCCAATTGTGTTTTAAATAATACAAATAAAGGACAAATATCAAAAAAGTCAACTAAAGATGGAAGAATTATCTGTAAACACTATTAAGATTAATAATTAAACTAACTATTTCGAATAGAGAAAAAGTTTTTTAATATAAAATATAAGAAAAATTAATAATAAGTTCTCTTATTCATATATAACAATAATTCAGTCGCTTTACTTTAATTTAACTATTTTAATATTAAAAACCTTTTTCGAAATTGATTATTTAATTAATAATTATTAAAATTATATTCAATTTGCAGCAATTATTAATAAAAATATTTATCCTATAAAAAATTCCATTATTCCAAAAAAACGCACGTATCGAAAAACGAATAAAAATGATAAAATTATTCCAGAAAAATTGGTAACTATAATTATATTAATATATTTATTCGATTTAGCTATGTTATTGGGGTTTGTCTGATTCAAAAATATAAAATAAACTATCAACCCCCTTAATATAAATGCGGTAACATAATGTTTAATATTATTCTGCTATTTTTTCTATTAGATTTTTATGGGAAATTCAATTTTTATCGAAGATAATAATATAATATTAAGTATAGTTTATTTGTTTATTTAAATATCTCTTTGGTTACCTAGAATATGATGCAGCAAAGAGAATTCGGAACACTTTTTCAGAATGAAAAATCTGAAAAATATAAAAATGAAATTTTAAATTCAACAGAAAAAAAAAATATAGCAATTTCAAAAGACAATCCGCTATTAATATCAGCTGATTTGTTAGAAAAGGTATATTTTATTATGCTTTATTTCAATAAAAAGATTTTAGGGTATACCCTAAACCATTTTTTGGACTTAAAGCAGATTTCTTAAATAAATTTATCATATAATTAAATATATTTTTATGATCCGTTAAGAGTTTTCATAAGAAAAATTTGGAACGCAAAAAATCCGAAATAAAAAAACAACTTTTTGAGATATCTTCTAATACTACTGCTCGACCAAATTTAAAAAGAAATTCATCCGAAGAAGATGAAAAAGTCATAAAAAGTATACAACTTTTAAAATATAATTCATTTTTAAAAAATATGAAGTTTTGATTTTTGAAACAAATATGTAATATTTTTAAACATAAATTATTTTAGAGCCAAAAGTTAGTTCTAATCCTTTGACCTTAAATACGCCGAATGACGTAAATTTACTTGCTCTGTCCACTATTGAAGTAATAAAAGTACCAGAGAAAGAAAAAGGTAATTAGTTATTTAATCTATTTATTTTATGTAAAATTAAATAAAAAAAGATTATTTATTAAACATAATTAATTATAATAATACGAGTTAAATTAATATAACTTCTGCAGAGGCGTGTCATTAAGGGGGTCCATGGACGTTTTAAACAAAAGTAATTATACGTGTTTAATTTCATATTCCAAAACCTTAAATAAACCTAAATAATAGTAAACTGTTCAACAAAGTCTTTTATTAATTTTATGAAAAATGTTTAAATATGGTTACACTTGCAGAAGTAATGCAAGATCAGAACACAAAATCTCTTGATCAGTATAATGCACCTTCATTTAAATCGCCCACATCATGGTATACTTCAGACACAATTAATGAGTACATTAAAATGATAGTAAAACGGTCAGAAGGTGAAGTTTATGCAGTTGTCACTGATTTTATTGTAGCGTATCTTCGAGGAGGTTATCCAGCTGTAAGAAGATGGATAAAAAAAGATATTCACACAATAAAATTACTTTTTGTGCCCATGAATGTATATGGGAGTCATTGGATATTGACAGTGGTTAATATACCTGAAAAGACTGTGACATCATATGATAGTCTTAAGTCGTATAAGGGTCCTTATCCAATGGTATTAAAAAATTTCTTAATTGAATGGGAGATGGACAAAAAAGGAAAAGCTTCTACATGGACATTACAAATAGGCGAGACATCTCGCCAAACCAATGGACATGATTGTGGGCCATTTACTGTTGAGCTGGCAGAAAAAATGTCTCGAGGAGATACAACACCAATAAATGCAAATTTTATGCCTTTTATAAGATTAAGACACAAAAATGAAATTATTGCTGGCGAGCTATTCAATTAATATTTTTATGAATGAAATGTTATTTTTGTATTTTATATCAATTTTCTTAATATTCACTATAAATTGAAATTTTTATTTGTATACCACCAAACATTTTTTTACTTTTTCTATGTTTAATTGTTGTTTTGTTATTTTATTTTAATCTTATTTTTCTTTGTAACATTTCATTTAAGAAATTCAAATTTAATATAAATTTATCTTAACTGAAATAATTTAATGTTCTTGTTATGTGAATATACAAATATTATAATATACAGTTATGGATACAATTAAGTTAAAAAGTCAGCCAATTATAAATTTTTAAATTAACAAGCGTATCTTCTATCTTAACAACTTAATTTTAATTTTACTAAATGACGATTCATAAAGAATTTCATAACTTTTGTTTATTTTTTAAATACTATTTTAATTATAAAAAATTCTTTTCTGTATTTTTTATAAATGCGGTATATTGAATAGGGGTCACTAAACTAATTTGTTTATAATTCTTTAAACTGATAAACTATAAAATAAATTAAAAAATGAACTACAAGTTCATAATATTTTCGTTGTTATTATATTTTTGCTACGGGTATTTTTGTTATCTAAATGACCCAATGAAATCCAAATAATTTCTAGAAATCTCTGATAAAATGTAGATAAATACGTGTCGTCGAATCCTATCAAATTATTTTCAATTTTGTTATTTATTTAAAATACCATTTATTTTATAGTAAATAAATATAGTATATTATAAATAAAGTTAATACCAATATATTAGGCATTTTTTTTAAGTCGGGGGGTGTCCAGACATGGAGGACATCCCCCCAAAATACGCCACTGAACATAAAACTATGTCATGTTAAAATTAATTGAATAACCTATCTTTGTATAAAAACATGAAAAATAATGTTTTTTTAAACCAAAATAAAATAATTTGTTTAAGTTCGGGTACTGTTACTTAAGAAGACAAGGTGTAGGGACATAACTTTTTTTAACTCATAGTAGATAGCATTAGCTTTAATTTAACATATGTTTCAAGTTCATAGTATTTTGGAAACATTATCAAAATTTAAGTAGAAAAAGTTAAAATTTTGCCTTAAAGTTGCTATTTTGATACTCCTCTGTGGGAAAGTAAAAGATTAGATTTTCAAAAATTTATAACAAATGAAAAGGAAATATTTTAGGTATTTATAAAAAAAAAAATTATTTTGATTCATTTATTTTTTAATATTTATATGTAAAACGAGTGTAACAAATATTTACATTTGAATTGACAACTGATCAATTATAACCATTAAATATTTCAATGAAAAAAAACATCAAAAGTAAACATTTTATTTAGTTTTTATCTAAAGGTACTTTTTGATAAGTAAATTTCCTTTTAGATATTACGATAATAGAATATTTAATTGCTTCCTCAATTTTCAAATTAAACATATCTACTTCGTATTAATAATTCGTAGATCATATTTATACCATTACGATTATAATAATTACTCAACATAGGTTTTTCGTTGTCATCTAATGATTTCAAAAAGGTAGTGCAGTATACAATATGTTCAGAACGAATGCCAATATTTTTAGTGTATATTGATTTTCCATGTGTTATTAATCCTATATGTTGAATAAAATTTAAAGTGGCATTAATATCTTTAATAAGTTCTTCATCAGGTTCTTGATCTCGCCGAAGATAATAATATCGAGCTTTTATTTCTGCTGTAGACATTTCTTTAGATTCGAAACGATTTTTTAAATATTTGAATTTATCTTCTGAAAGTGGTTTGGCCTGGTCTTTTCTTTTTATGATAGGATCATATTTTTTAAATAAGTCTTCGGGGTTTTCACTCGCATCATCTATTACAACATAAAATTTAAACGTTACAAATAATGTTTAATAAAATTCAATAATTAAGTACAAAATAGTATTATAAATTTTTTTAATATTCATTAAAAAGTCAATTAATACATACCAATAGTGAAATAATTTTTTATTTTTGTTCTGCAAAATGGACATATTTCCTGAGATCTTTTAAAATTTATGGCACATAACAAGCCTATAGTATGACCGCAAGGGGATAATTTAACTGTTAATGTTTCCACATAGCATATTGTACATGCATCTATAAAAATACCTTATTTTATTAAATAAATCAAGTATGTATTACAAATGTCCATAAAATCAGGACTTAGAAAATTCATTTATTGAAATAAAGTAATGTTTTATTAGGTTATTCAATATTAATGCTCCCTTCGTTTCTGAACTATCTTAAATTGACCGGAAGACCGAAGAAGCGTAATTTTAAATTTCAATTGTAATTTTACAATCATATCGACTATATAACGCATAGTGTGAAATTTAGAAACAACGTTGGATTGTTTAAAATATCGTTGTTTTGTGGGACATAAGGTAAGTATAAGTTTTTTTCATACTTTCAAACCACAAACAATCTATTGCGTAATAAACCATTAAGATAAATTATAAAAAAATTTAAGGGATATTTATCATCATATTCAGCATTGTTAAGCCCCCGAGATCAGTCTACTATTTTGTCATAAAAATTTATGCTTATTTTATTTATTTCACCATTACCCTTATATGTTCAGCCACCGGTTACTCACTTTTCTAAAGCCCATTTTACTAATATTATTGTATTATATTACACCCTTCACATCCTTACACATATAACTAATGGTTATTATTGTTATACCATATATTGTTCTACCATTTTTTATTTAACCACATATTTTATATCATACACTATTTAACTCTTCTTTTTATTTTTTTGGTTTATTACATATATATTCACGAGGTTAACTGTGTCCGCGCCAGCCAAGACTTTATGCTGTGAAAGACTGGGCCACCACAGTCTTGTTTATTATATTTTGGATACAGATAAATTTATTCTTAAAATTATATTTTGACAAATTTAAAGAGATTATTAAGAATATCGATATTGACTATAGGGAAATTATCGAAAATATTATTAGTAAAAACCTAGTATAATATAAATAGTATTTGAATATTCTAAAAAAATAATAAATCATAATAAACGCAGATCCTATTGTATAGAATCTTTTTGAGTGAATATTTTATGAACGACGCATACTGTCGAAGTAATAAAAGCGTGTATTGATGATTAAAATCAAATAAATAAAATCTAATAAAATACAAATAAAATTAATCGAAATAAATGCGAAATCCTACAAACAATTGTTAACTCTGAACCTAGATGTTACTATAAGATTTATCCGAACAACTACAAAAATAAATAAAGGTAATTGCGAATATTTATTTGGATATCATACTCCTTCAAAATTCTCGCGATAAACATAATAAGAGATGGTGAGATAGGGAAATTTTATTGATTGATTACTCAATATAGCTCGATCCTGAAATAACCAAAACTAAATATATATCTCTCTGTTCCTACTTATTTTAACTTTTTTTTGTTTATTACACATTTAAGTATAAGGAATTTAATTTTAATTTGGCGATTCTTAAACTATTCATACTAAAAACTGCTTCTCTTCCAATCAAGTAAAATTACTTTGCTTTAGTTTGTCAAAAATTGACAATATTTTCTGAAATTGTAATATTTGGCACCATAGTATATTTTAAAAATATATAACTAACAAAAAATATGTATATGAATGTTCACCTTCTGGTATGTCCACTTCTTCATTTGCTTCTTCACACGATTTCACTTTAAATAAAAATTTTAAATTAATAATTTCAACACAATAATTATAATAAAATCGTATTTAAAAAACTCTAATTAGACACTAAAGAATACTTAACAACATCATTCGAGAAATGAATATGTACTAAAATAATTTTCAGTATACATTGTTTAAATTGATAAAATATTTTTTTTACATATAATTACAATAATATTTCAAAATATTTTCTATCTTAATACCTTTGTATTAAAATGTTCTAGAAAGGTAAATCTAGAATTTAAACATTTTTCAAGGTATTCTATAAAATATCTAAAAAATGTGTGTTCATATCTTTTTTACAATCATATATTAGTTTAAATAATTCATCTGATGGTACAAATATTAATCATTATAATTTAATTTAAAATTTTTACTAAAATTATTATATAAAAATCTATTCAATAAATTATACATTTCACTTATTTTTCGAAATTACATATAATATGTGCAATACTTTAAGTGTGCTTGAATAAAAAATTTAAGAAAAATATATTGTTAGTATCAAAATTTAATTTGAAATTTTACAATGAATCCCTAAATTAAACTAATAAAATTACTATTAAACAATACATAAAATGTATATTAAAAGTAAATCATTATTATTTTATAAATTTTAATATCACAAAATATTAATGTTTCTGTTCATTATTGTACAGACATTACAAACCAATATAAAAATTAAATTTCTTGAAGATTTAGCATATTCGATTTTGTATAAGATACAATTAAATTTTAAGAAAAGATGTTTCATACAAAATTTTCTACCCGGTTTTAACACCTTTAGTTACTTTTGATTCAGCGAATATTCTGCTTTTTTTTTTTTAATGCCGAATCAAAAAAAAAAAATTTATTAGTCGAAAAAACCTCTAGGATAAGTACTTATTGAGTAACAAATATTTTATTACTATAAATAGGTATATTGACCTACGCTACGAGTTCAGAACGTACTGATGTGTGTAAACTCCGCCCTAGCAACGTTTTTGTTTTATATATTGGAATAATTGTGATTTAATAAGTACTTAATCTAATGTTGTTATTGATACATCAAATTTTTTTATGTGTTTTTATTTCTTATTAGTGATAAATAATGTAGTATAAAAAGTTTTAGGGTCCCTTTAAAACTTGGGTATCTTGGTTAAAAACAAGAATCTGAAGCTACGCAATATCTGTCCAAATACGGTCTCTATCACCCTAAATGAGATTTAATTACCTGAAGAAGACACAGACAATCGTGTACCTCAGTTATTAGTAAGATATTATATGATAAAGTGAAACTATTGTTTTATATCAACGACTAGGTAAAATATATTTTAAATATTCAGTAAATATAATATGTACAGCGTTAACTAACGACTTTTCGCAGAAGAATCACTTAACTTGAATGTCTCAATGCGAACAACAAGACACTTGGTGAACCGTTTACTAGCAAAGAGACAGCAACATCAACAAATACAGAACAGGAATCGCAAGATCAACTGGGAGCAGTAGCTGACCAAATCGAGGGTCTAAAACTTAGACCTTAGAAACTAAGCGGCAGTCAAAGGCTCAAGCTGAAGAGGAGTCGGGCAATCATGGAGGGACAGAAGAACCTACTAAAGAAGGAAGACAAGGGAACTCATGACTTGAAAATGTCAAAGAGAACCTCCATGTAAGAAAAGTCATTAGATACTGACCTATAGGGATGTGGTAACCGATGATAAAAAAGTGGCTCTGGTAGCAGGCTACCCCACTAACAAGTTGACCACAGAACAGAGGCTATTCATTGAATCTTGTGTTTGAGACTTGATACTGTTGGGTAATGATGGAACCGACATACCAAGGTTTGAAGACACCAGACTCATTGATGGAGCACTTGTGACCAGTGCAGCCCAAGAGAACTCTATTAAGTGGCTCACTTATTATGTCAACCTGATAAAACTTTGGAACGATGCAGAAATCTAAATGGAAGCCTACAACCCGATCAATTACAAACGGATGGTCACTCATATACCAGGAGAAGAGTAGTAGTCAAACTGGAGGAACTGAATCGTAGCCCATGTTTTGAAATGGGCAGAGTTTGCTTCACGGACTATGTTTCCAAACAGCCACCATCCCAGAAGGATGTGAAAAAATCAGCTCCTCAAAAATCTGGGAAGAGCAAGACTGAAGTATCACTAGTGCCACCCGGGAAAGGAGGCAAGGCACAGGTAAGAAATAAACGCACTCACTTCACTGCTGACTCGAAAGGGATGTCTCTTGCGTGAGCGAAAGAGACCCAGAAAACCGCCATCTTTAACAACGATCACAGCTGAGGGAAACCTATCCACGTATACAAAAGGATATGTGAAAAGCGAACCTAAGGTACGGTCGCCACCTTGGAACGGCGGCTATCTATTAAATGCAAACTTGACTATTATCAGAGTAACACTAAGTGATAGTAAAAATATTATAGTAGCTTCAAGATACCTATTTGGGTACACTATTTGGAGGAGCAGTAACATCAATCAAAGAGGAGAGGTAATAATGGATCTATTACTGACTACAGACCTCAGTATACTAAAACAAAAGTAGCGAACTTACCTTTGTAATCAGGAAGTTATTGATCTGACAGTTCATTCTAAAGGGTTATTTCAAAAGATAAAAGAGTGAAAAATGTCCTTCGAACCTTCTCTTTCTGATCATAGGCACTTACGATTCACTTTGGAAATTAACAAAGTTGAGACGGAGTACTATAGGTACCCAAAAAGAACAAACTGGGACAACTACAGGGCAGATCTTTCTCGTACCTGAATAACTTACAGTTTAGATTGTGGTTGAGACAGTTTACTGAAAGGCTGTAAATATACTAAAGGACTCCATTGTGTCGGTTTACAAAGAAAACACTGAGAATCCTATAAAATAGAAAGCTGAAAGAAGTTTTTTGGGGATATACAACAACTCCCTATATCAACTAAACTTCTGCGATCATTAAGGAATGGACCAAACAAAACTGTCGAGGCAATACTAACTAGGAAATCTACTGATACAGCTCTACAATGCCTAACGTTTAAGATAGGGAAATAAAATGTATGCAGTAGGTATATTCCTGGACATCGAAGGGGCTTTTGACAATACTCCCTTTGATGCTATGAGTGAATCTACACAAGAGTATGGAATAGAACCACTTATTACTAAGTGGATAGAAACCATGCTCGAGGAACGCTCTATTTTGGGACAGCTCAATGAAACCAAAGTAATCAAGAGTGTTAAACAGGGATGTTCACAAGGCGGGGTTCTATCTCCCTAGCTATGGTGTTTAGTATTGGGCTCTCTTATTAAAGAGTTAAACAAATACTATTATATACAAGTTTATGAGGATGACTTAGCTGTAGAAGCTGTGGGTAAATTTTCTGATACAATTATAGACTTAGCACAACAAAGAATAAATACTATACATATATGGTCTTAGACCATTGGTCTATCCAAATAAAGCAGAGGTCATTAAGTTCACTAGAAGGAGAACAGGACTAGACATTCTTGACACCCTTACTCTAAATGGATTAGAAATTAGCTTAAAATCGGAAATAAAATACTTAGATAGTAAGTTTAAATGGAGATCACATGTTGAGTCAAGAATCAAAAAAGCAAAGACCACACTGTGGACTTGCAGCAAAGCCTTGGGAAAGACATGGGGTTATAAACCAAGAGTTATGTATTGGTTGTACACTTTAGTGTTTAAACCTATGATATTGTATGGTTCCCTAGTATAGTGGACCAGAACAGCACTCGTTACAGCTAAGAAAGAACTTAGCCGCATACAAAGAATGGCTACCATAGCCATCACGGGAGAATGAATAACTACACCAACGGTCGTATTAAAGGCACTAATCAGATTACCTTCTCTGCATCTAGAGGTTAAAGTTTACGCCAAAGCTACAGTACTAAGATTCCACAACTTAGGTATGTGGACTTTGGAGAGAGCCACAGCAGAACACGGTAAAATAATAAAGGATATAGACCAGGGCTTTTTGGAATACTCCTTGGATTATATCAAAGCAATTCTTAAGAATAACATTACCTACAAAGTAGAATTCACTACACGTAGAAAATGGAATATTAACCACCTGACTGAAAAAAAAGGATTTGTAATATACAGGGTGGCCCACCACTCACTGACAACTTAAATAACTTTTGATCCAGTTAATATTTTTAGTTGATTTTTTTTTTTAAATAATAGTTATACGTTAGGTCTATAGCTATATCTCAATAATTAATTTTTTTACATTTTATTAAAAATATTCATTATTTTTAAATTTTAAATAAAAAGTAAAAAAAAAATCTAAGATAGCTATTTTGTAGAGTAGAATTTAAGAAAAATGTTAGTAAAAAAATATCTTATTAATATTCAGTAGTAAATATTCTGTAGCGTTTTGAAGTTTGTGAAAATTTGAATTTTTATGTACTATTTTACGGTATTAAACATTGAAATACGTATTGAGAAAAGGACAGAAGAAAACGCTATCTTTTCAATATTCTTTTGAATGAGAGTGATAAGTAATAATTGCCTTATCTAATTTCTTATCATGGTNGATAAGAAATTAGATAAGGCAATTATTACTTATCACTCTCATTCAAAAGTATATTGAAAAGATAGCGTTTTCTTCTGTCCTTTTCTCAATACGTATTTCAATGTTTAATACCGTAAAATAATACATGAAAATTCAAATTTTCACAAACTTCAAAACGCTACAGAATATTTACTACTGAATATTAATAAGATATTTTTTTACTAAGATTTTTCTGAGATTCTACTCTACAAAATAGCTATCTTAGATTTTCTTTTTATATTTTATTTAAAATTTAAAAATAATTAATATTTTTAATAAAATGTAAAAAAATTAATTATTGAGATATAGCTATAGACCTAACGTATAACTATTATTTAAAAAAAAAATCAACTAAAAATATTAACTGGATCAAAAGTTATTTAAGTTGTCTGTGAGTGGTGGGCCACCCTGTATACAGATGGATCCAAAAATCAGGAAATGTATGTGCTGGTATTTGGGGTCTAAAGCCACGAATAAATGTCAATATTTCATTGGGCGTAACACCCCTGTTTTCCAAGCAGAGGTGATGGCGATACTGGTAAGGCTCAGAACCTGCTGGTATGCAAGAATAGGAAGGTAACTATCTTAAGTGACAGTCAAGCGGCTTTGAAAGTACTCTGTAATGATCAGGTGAATTCAAAACTGGTTCTCGAATCAGGGAAACTTTAAAATCACTATCGAGGTTCAACAAAGTGGGTACCAGGACACAATGGTGTCACTGGAAATGAAAATGCTGAATTTCTAGCCAAGAAAGGAGCAGAAAATACCTATGTTGGACCAGAACCAGTGGTAGGACTCACTTTGCAATCGCTCAAAGCGCTACCCAAGAATTGATCTCGAGAACAACACAGGAAAATCTGGAAGTACTTGGAAGTATCTAGATCGTCTGAAATGTTTATCAAGACCCCTGGTATACTGTTGGGTGATCTTAATAGTATGACTAGACATCAAATAAGCACTTTGACTAGTCTACTGACAGAACATGGTCACCTGCTTAAACATCTTAACGCAATGGGGTATTAGAATCACCGTTGTGCAGAAAGTATGGAGTAGAAGAGGAAGACTCATTTCGCATTATGTGAAATGAGCTTTGTTCACACTAAGATCAAACGACTTGAGTAAATCTATTCCTGAAAAAGAAGATATTAAAAACCTAAAACCCAGAGAGATACTTAATTTTGCCGGACAGACAGGACTCTTTGGTCATCTATAGGAGTGATTTTATGATCCACCCTTATACAATGATAAGTATAATGTACTAATACTTCGGTGAAAACACTTAGGTGGGTAAACCGAATCAAGACAATTCGGTATGAGGTGCGCACAATGGACCAACAGTTCTGAGTGCATAGGTATTATGTCCACCTCAATAAAAACTATAACGATAGACGTGTCTTTGAATAAAATAAGTTAAGTTACTAACAAAATAAATAAGGCATAAGTGATGGTATCGTAAACTATATCTATAACGGCCACTTAAACACATAGTTTGACGTCAATAATTCCGGACTACAGATTGCCATATAGAAAAATTAAATTGACAACCCAGGTTATGATTTATAGTGCAATTGTGAAATTTTTTTGTGTAAAAAAATTCTAAGAATCTATAAAATGGCTATTTTAAATTTTTTTTAAAAAATAGAACATTTTTTATTTAATAATTTTAGTAGTATTTTTTAATTTACAAATAGTTCTAATATTTTTCTTAATATATAATATGACAAACTATGTAATTTTTTGATAAACTATCGAATTCCTGGTGAACCAACCCACCCGATTTTCAATTACGCTAATCATGAGTTGAACATTTTTATTTTCAATAAAACAATAATATCTGGACCCATTGTCATTTCTGATGGTTGAGTAATGCAATGTCATTAATAAACAGGCTATTGCCTATTCATTATTCAACCTTAATATGTGCCATTAATATTATTGGTCTGTTACTATAAACTATCTTCTTAACTATACAAGACAGTCACTCAGTTTTAGAAACCTTATACAAACCTAAATTTTCAAATTCAATTATTTCTTTTCTACATTTTGGACAATTTTTTCCTTTTCCTTGTATTAAAAAGTTAGTGCAAATATTTCCTAACTTGTGTCCACATGGCTGAAAGGTTACCGTTGATTTTTCATACAAACATACAAAGCAAATGTCTATAAAAAAGTTAACGTACAGTTATATATAATGTATTTAAAAATAAAAACTATAAGACATTATATTTTATAATTGCTTAAACTAATCTTCGTCAGGTTTAGACCTAGCACCCTACAGGCCTAATAAGCCTTCGGCGCGTTAGGGACCTTCCGGCCGTTCTTACGAGTCATTGATTTCGGCATGAGTACCTAAGAGCGTCTTGCACGATAAGTGTGTTGCAGGAAAAATATTACATCAGAATTAGCATAACAAATATACAGTAAAAATAAAATAAATAATAAAATGAAGGTACGAGAGGCCTGTAGGACCCAGATCTAAAGGCGGAGCCTAGTATTAAATAATAGATAGTAAAATAATATTCAAAATCATACATTTTCTTTTAAGCATCCTTCATTTTCACATTTTTATGTGAAAAGAGAGGATGTTCACATATTATTAATCTAATGTTTACAATATTATCATAAAATATAAACATCTATTACAATGCGCAAACATAAAAATATATTCTAAGAAAAACTATGTGCGAGACTTAAAAACAAAATAAACTTTATATTCTTTTTCTGTTTTTTGCGAATAATTTTCCCATAGTAATATCGCCGAGCTCTATCATTTAGAAGACACCATATCGCCGTATTTTGAGGCTTAAAAACTATCAATGGTATAATCTTGATTAAACGGTCTAAAGTGATCATAGAAATTTGAAAATTTGAGAATATTTAAAAAGCAATATTTTGAAATGTCTATAATGAGATTCTTGGGATTTATAGTTTTTGCATACAATTTTAAGAAAAATTTTTTTTAACTTTAAAAGATCATTGCTGAATAATGATAATATTATATTTCTTGTTTCCTCGAAATTTCAAAATTCTATGATGAATTCTAACAGAATATGATGATTTATAAGTGAAATAGATACATAAATAATAATTGTAAAAAACTGCGCTTTTTAGTAGAGAGGACAAACATCGTACCACAAGCGGCAAGTTGTCAATGACCGCGGCGTTATCTAAATGGGCCAATTTAATGGCATGTTCAATTTTCCGAATTAGAAGTACTTATTGATATGCAACAATAAAACATTATTTGATTTTGCAATTACCAATTCTAATATACCAGTGTATTTGTAGTAACACACTTTAATAGATATACCTAATAAAAAGATGTCACCAAAACAGTGTTCCCGTGGATAAGATAAAAATAATAATAATACCCTTTTACACAAAATTAAACTATTATTTTACGCATTCCATAAAACTCACACGAAAAATATTCAATCGCATTGACCAAACAAATCTAGCAAAACATATTTTAAGAATATCGCCAGAAATCGCTAAACTACTTTTGTGGGCTATAAAAAAGCCAAAGTAAATGAGTTTACTCTTACAATTATATATCAAATCTACGCCCTTTTACATTCCATTTTATTATCTGGAATTTAGAAGAATTCTTATGCATCTTATTTTCGGCCGAACACTTTTGATGATACAAACATTTCAATACATTAAACATATTAGTACTTGATTTATTTATTTTTAATACACACCTTAATACAATTTAAAAAAATACGTGATTAGATTGCACCTATACGACTGTTATAGTTATTACATAAAAATTAGAGGTTGATTATTTTTTTTAATTTTTTGTGATTGTAACTTCGTATGAAACAAAAACACGTGTTTTAAAAAGTTGCAAAAGATAAATAATATAATATGAGAAATGTGAGACAAAAAAAAATGAAATGTTAAAAAACTTATTGAGTCTACTTCTTTATACGTTAGCATAGTTAGTAATTTTCAGAGAAATAAATAGTGCTTTGGATTTAAATGTAAATGATTTACATTACATATCTCGAAATATGGGATTGTATATAAACATATGTACATTCGACAAAGAGTTGCGTAAGAAGATGAATAATTTTTTGGTAAAATTATATTAGAATATATTAAGAAATAAACCATAATGTTTAAAGAGGGGAGTTCAATATATAGTCCTCCTTAGAAACGCGCTTGATTAATATTAAGAAACTTAGCACAGTGGAATCGCGGTACAGTGGAGATGTGGCATAGATGGGTCCAGTATAGATTTAATCTGACAGTGATTAAAATCACTATCATAAGAAACGCTTCGATGCAAATCTGTAGATAATGTTTAATTCTAAGAAATTGGTGGATTATTCCAAAAGCTACATGATCTGCTATTTTCTTATTTATATCCTGATTAAGATAAAGTATGTCGAATAAAAAAGAAATATAAATATTATTTCTCATAAAAAAATTGTGTTTATCCATACACTTTTCAATATGTTATAACATTATAAAGTAAAAAATATTGAATTATTTTCAAATTATTATTGATATCAAATCTAATTCGACAATAAATACTTTAAAACTATTAGAAATGAATTATTTTAATTGTTTGTATGGAAAAAGCTGGTTAAGCTACTTTTTATTTGAATAAGGAATATTTTTTCAATTTTTAAGGGTAATATCTTCAACTAAATACGAATTGTAATCATATGACGTATCGTTGAAAAAAGTAGGTCAAGTGAGGGTTAGCAAAATAAATCATAATCACAAAAAAAACCACATAGTAAAATAATATTAACATGAATAAAAAATTTCTTCTCACGAGGGGAGACTATAATAATAGGTTCCTTTATATTTATTGAAGTTATTGAATCTAAATGAGATAAATATCAAATGATTTGAAAATTTTATTCTAACTTAAAAAAATGCAAAATATTATTGCGACAGGCGGATTCAAACCTCGTACCCCAAGTGTGAAAGACAGAAGTGTTACCGATTCGGCAACTGAGCGTTGTTTTCGTCGCCTGATAAAATTAGTAATTTAAGCTAATTCAAATTAAAAAATTACTTTTTCGACTTAAAAAAAGTGAAAAAATTTTAATAAGTTTAATTTCTTATGTCTTATGAACATTATTCTACGTCAATTAAATTATAAAATATTCATGAAAGTCAGTGTATTCCCCTTTGCCATACGCGGGTTGGAACCTTGTACCCCAAACGCGTAAAACACAAGTTTTACCGATTCGGTAACAATACGTCGCTACTGTCGGCCGAAAAAATTAGCAATTTAAGCTAGTTCAAATTTAAAAGTTATTTTACTCGACTTAAAAAAAGCAAACAAATTTAAATAAGTTTAACATCTTATGTTATATCAATTTTATTTATATAATATTTATCCAAATCAGTGTACTGCCCTTATCATGTATTTTAAAATAAAATAAAATACAAAACCCAGAATTGTAACACAAAACAGCATATTTTTGAATACGGTAGCAATTTTCACAAAGAAGAAAATGTATACTTCGAATTTTTTTTTTTTTTCATAGTAAAGTATATAGTATAAGCTTTAATTTAAGATTAAATAAATTTGTGAATATTTCCGGCGCATTTTCAAAAGTTAAGTTGAAAAAGTTAGTTTTTGTAAAAAGTTGCTATTTTAAATCCCGCCGAGTGAGCAGGTTAAGTGTTAGATTTTCAAAAAAAGTGATATCAAATAAAAGGAAAAAATATCTATAGTTTTAATTTAAAAAAAAATTATGTTGATTTGTTGATTTTTGAAAAAGTTATGGAATTTTAAGAAAAAAAAGTGAAAAAAATGACAAAATTTACCGATTTTTAAATTTGTATTTTTTTTAGAGATTTCCTCCGTTTACGGGGAACGAGGGAGTTTTTTCAAATTTTAAGGGTAATGTCTTTAACTAGATACGATTTGCAATCTTTTGACGTATTGTTGAAAGAAATCGTCCAGTGAGAGCTGAGAAAAAGTATTGACAGACACAAAAAAAAAAAAATAATAAACACATCATGATAAAATTAATACCTTCTCAGCTTCGCATCGAAGCTAAAAACTCAAAATATCTACAAGAGATCAATATCACAGCCAAGATTAGAATATCGAAAGGAAAAAGACTCACTGTTTCAAGTTTTGGAGACATTTTTTGGATACGTGTTAAAACAAGTGTTGATAAAAAGTACTTATAAAGATACTTATTTAACTGAGTGAACACCCAGTTTATTACAAAAACAGTAATTAACATACTTTAAAGTAATTACAGTCTAAATTTTACACGTAAGGTAAACAATTTTTTTAGGTAGGAATTCTCCTTTTACGTAAGTAATTATTAATAAGTTAATGAACGACCTTATTGAGCAATAAAGTGTAAATAATTATTTCAATATCCAATATTATATAACTAATAATAAATGCATGTAATCAAGATAGTGCTAAATTATAATTAGAAATTTTATATTACATGTAACAGATATAACGAAATTTATTAGAATTAAAAGTTTATTAATGGAAGGTAAAACATTGATTCTAAAGTTTAGGTTTCTTGTCGAAATTTAAACCTATTTAGGCATGCAAAATATTCAGGTTTATCGAAACTATATTTTTATGAATGGAATAACTTATAAAATGAAATCTTCGACTTAGTGCAAAATGTGGGAACCAGCTATCTTTATTGTTCCAAAATTTCGAGTTACATAACAGTACCTTAGACAATTTTATAAATAAACGATACATCTTTGTACTTAAGTCCGGAAGAAAGAGATTGTATACCTAACATTTTTTGTTATAACAAATTTATTTGTAAAAACTGTAGCACAATGGGGTAGCGGCACATTATGGACATGGCATAGTTGGAACTAATATAGATGATATCTGATAGTGATCAATATGACTAACGCTTCGATGCAAATCTATAGATAGTGTTTAGTTTTAAGAAATTGGTAGATTATTTTAAAAGCAAAAATAACTCCTATTTCCTTAATTTTATCCCGATTAGTTATTTGATTTATAATTATAATATATGAATACTAATTATAATAATTATATTTGATTATTATAATCTCTACTTTTTGAAATTATTATTAATTAGTGAAAATTAATATTTATAAAAAATTTAATAATAATAACCAAAAAAATCTCTGTTAAAATTAAATTAAACAACACTTTAGGAATATTTTTTAATATTATTATATTATAGGTTATCAATTATAACATCTATTTACACACTAAGAGTTTCATAAAAATGATTTCTTATATTTCAATTGTACCATCTACAGTATTTCCGGAACATTTTCAAAAATTGAGTTAAAAAGTTTTATTTTCATATGTATTTTTAAGTTTAGAACCCCACTTGTATAAAGGGAAATACTACGATTAAAAAAAAAATGTCGGATAAAAGATAATTATAAATAGTCTTTATCATAAAAAAATTGTATTGATTCATACATTTTTCTAACATTTTTAGAAATATAAAGTTAAAAATATAAAATCATCACAAAAAAAAAAACACACTGTAAAATCAATACCTTCTCAGTTTTGCATCGAAACTTAAAATACATTGTAATAAATGAAATACAAACTAATATTACAAGAAAAATCATTAATAGCTTATCATTTAGTTTATCATGCTGATAAACTAAACATGAACAATACATTAAATAATATAGTAACATTGCTAAATTGGTAAATAGGAATTTATCAAAAAAGGTTCTATTTTATTTGATATGTTATGTAAATAATTTCGTTTTTTTAATTTTATTACTAATAAACTATAAATATGATTAATTTTTTATCTGCTTTTTGATAGAAGACGTATTTTAGCTTCGATGCGAAACTAAGAAGATATTGATTACTATGAAGTGTTTTTTTTTTGTGTCTGTTACCACTTTTGCTCAGCTCTCACTAGACTTCCAAAAAAATTACAAATTTAAAAATCGTTAATTTTCGAAATTATTTTACTTAAAACTGCTATAACTTTTTTAAAAATGACCAAATCAGTATAATTTTTTTTTATAGATGCTTGATGTTTTTACCTATCATTTGGTGTATTTTAAATCTGACCCTTTACATGAACACAGGGGGGGATTTAAAACGATAACTTTTTCTCAAAAAATTAACATTTTCAACTTAAATTTTGAAAGTGTTCCGGAAAGACTGACACTTTTATATATATCTTAAATTAAAGATAATGTATTGTACTTTATTATGAAAAAAAAATTTTCAGACTTTATTTTGTCTTTACAGTGAAAATGGATACCAAATGCTATTTTTATGTGAAAATTCTCGATTTTATTTTTTAAATTTTTAACTTTATAATGCTTTAACTTATTGAAAAGTGTCTGGATCAACACATTTTTTTTATGAGAAATAATATTTATAGCCCTTTTTCATTCGACATACTTTTTCTTAATCAGGATATAAATAAGGAAATAGTAAATCATGTAGCTTTTTTAAATTTTTTAATTTTAAACACTAATTTTTTAAAATTAAACACTATCTAAAAATTAGCATTGAGCGTTTTTTATGATAGTGATTTTAATCACTGTCAGATATCATTATACTTAATCTAACTATTACACGTCAACACTGTTCCGCGATCCCCCTGTGCTGGTTTTTTTTTTATGTAATTTTACAAAAAATAAAGTATTTTCACTAACGAACTATTCACATTGAGTAGTATTCTGTTGTTTTCGTAACATATGGCATAAATTTATCATTTGTATTGAAAATCTTGTTTTATACTAAGCGTAGTCACATTAGGTTAATCCAATCTATGTACAATGTAAACCGGGTATTATTAATTTTGTAATATTTGATTTGCTGTTCTCATAAAAATCAGATAAAATATTTAAATCTATTTTGGCGAATATCAAATTCACTGATTACAGAGATTTTGGCGGAAAACAGTGACGACTAATTCATGATGTCCTACGCGATATACGTGGTTACCAAAAAATATTTATACAACTCGCCTGAGATTGGAAATCCTATAAATTGTTTTTTCACAACCCTAAAACTAGCCTAAGTTTCATTTTATACAGATAATTATTTAACTTAATTGGTATTAATGATTACATTTAAGATGTAAAAAAAATTTAGAGAGTTAGCAAAAATATAATGTTTCGCTAACAATAATTTGTTATAACGAGAGTTTTTATATTAACAAAGAAATGTTTTTTTATTATTGGTATTTTATACAATCTGCTATGTTTGAATAATAAACATAATTTATGCATTATAATATACATAATTTAATATAACAAGTTAAACATGGAAATGTCACCATAATATTAATAATTATTTGTTTTTCTTTACAAAGTATTTTTATTTTTCAAGTAGAATTTTGTATAATGTACGCAATACTACAGAAATTTTAAACACTATTTGTTTAAAATTTAAAATTTACATTTATCTATTGTAACAATTCAGACGTTTTTAACTATATACTTATTTTTAAACAGGTTTTTATTTAAACCGCGCTTTTAAACACCACTGAATACTACGTACGTTATTATAATTATAAAAATAATTGAATTATTTACCTTCTGGATTAGTTGCTCCTACATCAACTGAAATAAATAATAATTAACCATAATCATATTATTTAAAAATTCGACTAATTTTATTATTTTATTAAAATGTGTTTAAAACAGAGTTTATTTAATTATTCTGTTAGAAGGCTAATTTTAAATTGATATTAAATTATTTCGCATTAAAATGAATCATTTAATACTTGATTATAGTATGTAAAAATTATAAATAGAGTGTTCAGTAAGTAAGGAGACGGGTTTCTTTTATTTCCATTGTTTATAACAAGTAACCCGTTTCCTTACTGAACAACCTGTATATAATATCACATAAAACTGCGATAAATTATATATCAATAACTGCTGTAAAAAAATTAATTTAGAATTATTCAAATAATCTATATTTATGATAAAAATCCAAAATAATGAGAATTTTGAATTATGTTAATATAAACATTGTTTTAGTTTTAATTTTAAATATTTTTTATTACTTAGTATTTCTAAGAAATAATTACTTGAAGAAATATTAATAATAATATTGGTGATGTTTAATATTAACTTTTTAAACGTTTATACTACTTAAATTTATGTTATTAACTGTTTTTTGAACTGTGTTTTTTATCAACCTTGGTTATTACGTATATTACTAGAATTATAATAAGAATTGAATTTTTTACCTTCTGGATTAATTACATCTACATCAACAGATATAAATAACAATTAAACAAAATAATATTATTAAAAAATTTCACAAATTTATTAATCATATATTATATTGACAAAATTTTTTATCTTAAATAAAATGTGTCTAAGACAGGGTTTATTTAATTATTCTGTTAAGACTAATTTTAAACTGATATTAAATTATTTCTCGTTGAAATTAATTTTTTGAAACTTTATTATATTATGTACCTATTGTACAGAATGTTTAGTAAGTAAGGAAACATATCAGTTACAAACAATGAGAACAATAGAAACCCATTTACTTACTTCCTGAACACCTTATATATAATATCACATAAAACTGTGATATATTACATATAATGATAATTTATTCTATCACAAATTTATGTAAAATAATTACATTAAGAGTATTTAATGTTATTTATATTTATAATAAAAATCTAAAATAATGAGAATTTTGAATTGTATTAATATAAACACTGTTATAATTTGTTTTATAATAATAATATTATTTTATAATAATGCTTATGCTTAAAAATTGAATTTTTTACCTTCTGGATAATTTGCTTCTATATCAACTTAAATAAATAAAAATTTAAAAAAATAATATTATTTAAAAATTTGACACATTTGTTAATCCTATAATACATTGTCGAATTTTTTTATCTTATTAAAATGTGTTTAAAACAGTTTATTTAATTATTCTGTTAAAAGGCTAATTTTAAATTGATATTAAATTATTAAGCTTTAAAATTAATAATTTTACTAGATTATAGTATGTAACCATTATATATAGGGTGTACAGTAAGAAAGGAAACAAGATTCTATTTTGCTCATTGTTTATAACAATTAACCCGTTTCCTTACTTACTAAACAACCTGTATATAATATCACATAAAACAATGTTTTTCTTTGAAAAATAAAACAACAGTATCTTATAAATAAGTTTAATAAATATATTAATGTGTCATCAAAGGTGTTTCAATCCTATGATTATTAAAATTTAAAATAATTAAAAAAATGTAAAGTTTATTATTAAATTAACATATTGATGGAAAAAAATTCAATAAATTCGAGTTAATAATTTAGTAAAAAATATGTCCTTTACCTGCTCTCAATCGAGGATATCCAAGGAAATTCAAAAATTTTCCTTTAAAAATGAAAATAAGCACAGTTAGTTGCAAAGTTAAATGAGTTACATTTAAATAATAATTTTAATGATGGGTAATGTAAGACCACGACTGATACTGTTAAAGTCTTGATTTTGGATATGCTTATCATGTTTTGATCTTAGTCATCTTTTTTATATTATTGAACATCACCAAGAATTATACTACTTTTAAACATTTTTGTAAATGTTTTTTATTTTGTAAGAGCGTTGCTTAAACAAAAAACTATATTAGCAATTGCTAGTGTTTAAAAAGTTTATTTCTCGACTTTGCTTTTCTGCAAAACGCAATTTTGGTCATCACAAAATACTCGGGGCCTCATTAATTTTTTATGATTTTTAACATGCAGTTAAGATTGAGATCACATTTTTTCATCTTTTAAAATTATAATGCGCTAATATAGAGTATTTTTACTCCTAGAAAATGCAGTTTCTACTTATTCTTCTTCTTCCTCACCTTAATCCCAACTACTTGGGGTCGGCCACCTTTATCCTAATCTTCCACTTGACACGATCTCCCACATCATTTACGCTCACATCAGCTGTCCTCAAATCGCATTCAATAGCATCCCTCCATTCTTTTTTTGTCTTCCTCTAACTCTTCTTCCTTCAACATTCATTTCTATAACTGTTCTTACAGTTTCCGATTCTTCTCTCCTCATAACATGACCAAACCATCTAAGTCTATTTTTTCTCATCTTATCCACGATTGACACTACACTTATACTTCCTCTTATATGCTCGTTCCTTATTCTATCTTTTCTGGTCATTCCATTCATCCATCTAAGCATTCTCATCTCTGCTCTACTCTCGTATCAACCGCCCAACAATACATCATCTGAACCATACATCATAGCTGGCCTTATTACAGTCTTATAGAATTTATCTTTCAGACTCATTGGAATTCTTTTATCGCATAAGACGCCAGACGCTTCTCTCCACTTCAAACACCCTCACTTAATTCTGTGTCTTACATCCTCGTCAATACCACCACTCTATTGCACAACTGACCCTAAATACTTAAAACTTTACCCTCTCCAATCACATCCTCGCCTGTTGTCACTGATCTCATTTCACTAACCTCGTGTTCTCCTTTGTCAAACTTGTACTCTATATACTCTGTCTCACTTCTACTTATTCTGAAACCCTTTTCTTCAAGAGCTGACCTCCACACCTCTAGCCTTTGATTAATTTCCTCCCTATTTTATCCTATTAACATTATATCGTCAGCAAACAACGTGCACCACGGCACCTCTCCTTGTATTTCTCTAGTAATTTCAATTATTTAATTAAAATACAGCTTCTACAATTAATTAATTCATTTGTTTTAAAATTTAACATACAGTAAAAGTAAGGTTGTATTTATGCTATTTATATATGAAACCTTTATTGTTATATTTTTGAAGTTATAACAACGAGTAAAAGATAGGCATACGGGAGATACTCGATTAAGAAGCCTGGGACATAGATATTCAGCTTTGTAAACTAAGTAGTGCTTGCACTATTTATCTTCTTGAATATTACTTAAAATTAGTATAAAATAATTTTTATGTTAAAAACTCGAAATTTATACAAGTATGAAAATGCGAAATAACTGATTTTATTATAACTTAAACTTACTTAATGCAGACTCCGAGGATGCCTTACATATTACTAAAAATGTTTCACACTTTTTAATGGTTAACTTAAATTGAATTTTATATCAAAGGAAAATTAATAACAAACAAATTAGTGAAGCTTGACAAAATTATATTATAGAAAATAAGATGTATAATATGTACCATTGCTTAAAATTAGAATGCCAACCAAAATAGGAATTGATGAGCTGAGTTTGAACTAAAACAAAAAATGGTAATTTATATTTCAAACATAAAATTTAATAAAATTTCTAATTTACAATAACCTCATAAAAAATAATATATTTTCTTATATAATTCATTAATATAATACTATCAGTAAAGTTTCAAAAAATTTTCTACATACCATATTTACTTTTATATAAATTCACAATAATCAAAAGAAATTGTATCATACAAATTAATAACTAAATATATTTAAAATTTAGTTGTTTTTTTTAATTAATTTTTTTTTTTTTTGTAATTATATAGAACATAATTCTGTATAGTAAATTACACATCAATTTCATGTAAATATAATAAATTTTGTATAGTTTTTTTATGAATAGAAGAACTATTTATAGTTCTTTTAATAGTACAGTTGTTCAAAATAATGACGATAATGCCAAAATGTAATTTTTTTTAAATAATATTGACCTTTTTACATATTGAGCTTCTTTAACCTAATCTAGGTATTTTAATTCAAAAGCTTGATATCTATGAACATAGGGCTCAATTTTTTTTACTATTATTCAATCTAATCCTAACTTATCTAAAATAAAAATTTCTCCTCATAATGCTCAAAAAACTAATTTATAATGTCATATCAATATGCCAAATTTCGGGTCATTCCAATAATAAAGTTAACAAAGAAAATTTTTTTTTCAAACCATTATTTTAATAAATTAAAACTTACAACATATATTATATTTCATTTAAACTACATGAAATATAATTTTAATAATATTTATGTATGAAAAAAGAACTAATATGATTAAAAAGCACTTTATACAATAAAAAACACGAAGTAAAAAAAAAATAATTAAAAATCTGGCCTCATTTATTGAAGTTTTTTTTTTTTGAATTTACTTATACTTACATTTACAAATTTTTTTATCACACTACCGTTTTAGCATACATTATATGTATACAAGTTCAGCTCGTTGAAACAGAGTAGGGAGACCGCTGTTTTGGAAGGGTAAAGAGTCGCCCCGCCAACAGATGGTCTGATCCATCACTTAAAATGTTTCATATTAAAAATAACTTCGTACAGCTTATCTAGATACTTAGTTTTAATGTTACATATTTATTTATTAAATTAAATGCAATTTTTTAAGATTGGTCAATAAAAATCTTAATTATGATAAACCATTAAAAGTGATGGTGCATGTAGTTTGCTGACGATATTAGTGTTAATAGGAGGAAATTAATCAAAGTCTAGAAGTGTGGAGATCAACACTTAAAGAAAAAGGTATAAGAATAAGCAAGGGTAAGACAGAGTATATAGAATATGAGTTTGATAAAGGAGAACACGAGGTAGTTGAAATGAGGAGATCAAACAATCAGAGAGGACG